TTATTGAATGAAAGCAAAAAATGTCGGAAATAGCATCAAATTTTAGAATAAGTTCAGATTTGTTCGAATTGGTCACCTTTGGCACGAATTATGGCCTTCAAACGGCCAATGAAACCGTTACACGGCGAAGCGCTTGCTTGAGGTGATCGACACGTTGGTATTTTTTAGTGCCAACCTTGCTTTCCAAAATACTCCAGACCCAATAGTCCAACGGATTGGTATCCGGAGATTTTGGTGGCCATTGTGCGCTGGAAATGAAGCGACCTCATTTTATCACCATTCTTGGGTGGCGCGTGCTGAGAACGATGGTGCTGAGTCCTGTTGGAATGTCCAAGGTCTGCGGCCAAAATGTTTGCTTGCCCAAGGCTTAAATACACCCTCCACAATATTTTCGCGATAATATTCGGCATTGATTCTGATGCCACGGTTGATTAATACGAGCGGAGAGCGATCATCGGCTGTTATGGCGGCCCACATCATCACCATGGCTAGAGTTCTGGTGGCCAACAGAAGGTGCACATTTTCAGCTGACCTCTTTGGCAAGTAAACACGATCATTTTGTTTGTTTACAAACTGCTGGACAACAAATGTTTTCTCATCGCAGAAAACCAAATTCGGCAGTTCACCACATTCGGCCAAACGAAGCAACTCTTTAGCTCTTTTGAGTCTATTTTCTTTCTATTGCCGTGTAAGTTCTTGCACTTTTTGGAATTTCAATGGCCGAATGGAATATTGCGATATGTTCAGCTCACGAGTCATTTTTCGGCCACTGCGACGCGGGTTTCGATCAAGTCGCTTCTTTACTTTTCCAACAATTTCTGCTGATGTTGCTGTTTTCTTCCGTCCACTTCATTGACGTCGGGCTACGCTACCAAAAGATTTATTCACATTTAAATGCTGAAATGCTCTAATGATAGTCACTTGTGGTTTTCCAGCCAAATGTAAAGAATTCCGCTTAAATTCCATAACGAATAACTTTTTTTGGAAAATTCTCACCAAAATGCTTTTGTACGCTTGTAAACAATATAATGAGCTGTCACTGGAATAATTTTAACAGCTGTCGGACGAGTGGCTTAGAAATGACAGCAGTCTGAAGTTGGTTGCAGTTTTTTTCATCTCGCCCTGTAATAGACCCATAGTTCCTTTTGATAATCCTCATAGAATCACTTTCTGAGTCGAAAAAAGGAAGGTGACATTTATAGACCTATTTAGATAAAAAATTACACGGGTCACTTGTTTGAGTCAAGGACGAACCCTGCGAAATCGGAGATAATGAGTCAAAATTTAGATATAGCTCCCATATATACCATCGTCCAATTAGCTTTTATTGTGGAGTTTGACACAAATTGTGATTAGAAGCAAGTATGTCAAATTTGATGAGAACCGATTCAATATAGCCGTAATCCACCCTCCACCATCCACTATATTTCTCAGCCAATTTGTTATTTTTATCCTGCACAGCCGTAATATCTGCACCATAACAACGATCTTCAGGAAAATACATAAATTATAGCTCAGAAATACCTTTTCCAAATTTTGTCGAGATCGGTTCAGATTTGGATATAACTCCCATATATAACTTTGATCGATTTATAGCGTGGCAATATAAAAAATAAGTATGGTGGCATATTTTTAAATTCGTTGAAGAATATTCCTGCAAAGCCGTTTTAATATCGATCTCACCATTTCTCAAAATTCGAAAATTATTCAACGAGTGATGACGTCATCATCATTTTCAATTTCATGCTCAGCCTACGCTAACAATGCATTGCCGTAAAATAAATGGTCATTGGCTGGCATTGATACCCACCAAAAAAGATATTCATATTTTTTTATGAATGTTAACAAGTCAGTGGAGCTGCCATTTTGGTAAGGAAATGGTGACATGCCAATTGCATAATCGGAGCAAACGCACTCAAACACACACACACATACCAAATCACTGGGTATGGGAACTATGACAAAGACACAATGGGTTTTTATAAAATTGTACGTGAATCTTGCTGCAGCGGAACATAAATAACGTCACTGTGTCTTTCCCACAAAAACACTTGGTTTTTTTTGAGACCCTATTTGGTAGAAGCGCAAGAAAAAAAAAACAACATTTCCGAAAATAGTAAGACCACTGCCTAATTGGAATCGTATTATCAATGTAAACAAAGACAGTGACAATTAATCGACCGACCGAGCCAACAACCAACCTACCAACAACTAGCTGCGTTTGTGGAGGCATTTTTACTTCTCGTACCAACTACCATTTCTATGAATAATATGACATCGGAAAGATTATAATAAACAAGTAAAAAGCTGTAAGTTCGCACGGGCCGAACTTTAAATACGGTCCACCATTTGGAACGAATTTGGCAATTTTCAAAAAAAAAAAAAAATCCGTTAAAAATTCTTTTAAAATCTTAAAAATACCGAATTTAGCTGTTATATTAAAGTCTATACGATGACGTGGACCTGCTTAGGCAACTTTTGTCATAAGCCATTAAAATATTCAAATGCGAAACTTGAAAAAAAAAAACGGTGAATAATGTAGCTAAAATTTTCATGTGTGAAAATCACTCTAGCTTCCGACCGAAACGAAGTAGGTTGATAAAATGTTACTCAGACATGTGCTTGTTCTGCAGGCCTTTTAGCATTGAAAATGGACTATATAGGTCTACATTTTGGTATAGTGCCCATACAACGGGACCTCCCTATATTCGGTATTTTGATGATTTTAGCGACGGAATTGTTCTCAATTTTGTATTTGAAGTTCGTTATTGGTACTACAGCCTGTGACAGAAAATTGCCTATGCGTGTCCACGTCTTCGTATAGCCCCATATAACGGTACCTCCCTATATTCGGTATTTTGATGATTTTTGAGATATTATTCAACGGAATTATTTGAAATTTCGTACTTGCGGTTCGTAACGGGTACTACAGCCTGTGACGGAAAATTGCCTATGCAGGTCCAGGAGTTCGTATAGCCGCCATATATCTGTACTTCCTTATATTAGGTATTTTGATGATAATGTCGCTAAATTATTCACCGGATTTTTTTTTTTCAAACTTCGTAGTTTCACTTCGTAATAGGTACTAAATCCGGTGACAGAAAATTCCGCATGCAGGTCCGCGTCTTTATATAGCTCCATTTCTAACGGTACTTCCCTATGTTCGGTATTTTGATTTTAGCGACATTTTTCACCGGAATTGTTTCAAATTGCGTATTTCAAGTTCGTAACGGATACTACAACCTGTGACGACCATTTCAACGCCTTCATATGTGAAGCCTAGGAACTAACAGTGAACTCAATATCAAATTTCGGAATTCTAACTCAATCCCTTACCTCAATACCAAATTTAGTACCGCTAAGTACTTTTGAGTACATATTTCTAAAATCACCTCCAAATCTTAACCCTACATACTAACATTGATCCAAGCTGTATCCATTCACCAAATTTAATAATATTTAGTTCTTTTTTGTACAGTTAAAGTACGTCTTTTTAAAACAATCTCCATATCCCAACCTCAGATACCAATAGTGACCTCAATATAAAATTTCAGGTTTCCAGCTCTATCCCTTCACCCAATAGTCCATATACTACCTCTTAGTATTTTTCGAACAATTATAGTATAGTTAAGACCCCCGCCAAATCTCAAACACAGATACCATCAGTTATATAAATATCAAATTTCGGTATTTTATCTCTATTTCTTCACCCAATACCAAAATTAGCACTTAGAAATTTTCGTACACATTTCCAAAACAAGCATTAATTCTCACACCTATCACCAGGGATCTCAATACCAAAACTTCGAAATTCCAGCTCTATCCCTCCACCCAATACCAAATTTAGTACCACTTTGTGCTTTTCGTGCAATTATACACATTTCGGAAACCACCTCCTCATGTCCAGACTACACATGATCTGCAACCCAACTACCAAATCTCAGATTTTATACGACATCTGTCCAGTACTATTTAGTACTTTTTATGCACTTGTAGTACACCATTTCCAAAACCACCTCTTAATCACAAACATACCACCAACAGGGACCCCAATACCAAAATTCTAGCTTCATCCGTACACCCTGAAGCAAATTGTTCCAAATTTAGTGTCATTTAATACATTTCGCACACTTAGTACACATTTTCAAAATCATGTTTAAATGTTTCCAACCTTGAAACCCATACCAAATTTCCAATTTTTAGCTCTATCCGTTCACATAATACCAAATGGTACCAGTTAAGAAGGTTAGTACCATTTTCGAACTTTTCGTATCCATACAAATCGAATTTCCAAAAACCCTTTAATACATCTATCCAGCACTCCGTGGGTGACTCCGATTCCAAATTTCAAGCTCGAATTCTAGTTCAATCCATTTGTCCATTACAAAGTATTAATTTTTTAGTACTTTCGGTACCCTTTTAGTAAGAAGTAAGCCAGCCATGTCACACGCCTACGCACCAAGACTGGCCCTCGTGTTAAATTTCAAGATTCTAGCTTCAGCCTTTTGGTCTGGACGTTGAATCTAGATCAGTCAGTCAGTCAGTTTAACCCTAAAATGCGTTTCTTGAAGTTTAGGTCAGATTTAGGCTTTAAATATCTTGTGGGACCCATAGTAGAATTTTATGGCAAATAGTTCTGTGAAATATTTTTTTGCAACTATCAAGTTTAAGACGTAATCATAATTTCAATATAGAATCCTTTTTTGGCTGGCTCGAGGAATCTAAGTCCAAGAATTTCAAAAAATGTTGAAGAGGGAGGGTTCCGGCCCCCGCTATTTAGGTTATATTGCTATGTAAACTTTCAAAACGCTGATTCACCTGTCTTCTATTTTTAGCTCTACTTTCATAGTCTGCTAGACTTCCCTGTAGTTATTGAAAAAAATAATTTTGTTGTTGCACAGTGTTACTAAAACTCACCGATTATAGCTCTGATAACCCTTTTAAAAAAGTTATGATTTTATTCCAAATTCAAATTTTCCCTACTTTCCATTACCTTTCAGATTATATTCCATAATAGCACCGAATACGATAAGACCCAATTCACAGTATCATGTAGCCGTAAGTATACACAAGTCCCCAGAACCGGTAAGGGTGAAATTGGGCATTATTGGTAGTTCATATAGTGATTTTAAAACTGCCGAAGTAAGGCCATTCTCCACAGAGACGGTGCATTTTGATGTAAGTATTCGCTTTTTCAATTTGACACCGAAAAGAAATCCAAAAAATTTCTTTCCCTTTTCAGATACCCGATTTGAAAAGTGATCGCTACAATCTCACAGCCGAAGGCCTGTCGGGCATACGTTTCACGAATGAAACTCAACTGCATTTCGATGCCCATCAATTTACGGTGATGGTGCAAACCGATAAGGCCATTTACAAACCCGAGGATATTGTCCACTATCGTGTCCTCCTTATGGATGCCAACTTGAAGCCGGCCAACAATTACGGTCGCGTTCACATCACCATACGTGACAGTGGTGACAATGTCATACGTAATTATCGTGATGTCAAATTGACAAGTGGCGTATTTTCAAATGATTTAAAACTTTCCGATTATCCGAAATTCGGCGAATGGTCGGTGGAGGTGGAAATCATGCAGGAGGTATACAAACGAACCTTTGAGGTGGTGGAATATATTTTGCCGAAATTTGTGGTGGATATTGATACGGATAAACATGTCATCTACAAGGATGGGAAAATCAGGGCCACCGTCAAGGCATAGTAAGTGGGTTGGAGGAGTGAAGGAAAATTTTCAAAATTATTTTTTTTTTAATTTTTGTTTTTAAATTTTTACAGCTATGATTTTGGCAAACCAATTGTTGGCGAAGCCACTCTCTCCATCTACCCCACCTTCTTTGGTTCCTTGCAGCCATTTGTCAACGATTTAATTACCCGCAAAGTTGTGCCCATCGATGGCAGTGCCTATTTTGAGTTTGATATCCGCGATGAGTTGAAACTAAAAGAAGACTATGAACGTGAGTATTTGTTGGATGCCCTGGTCGAGGAGGCCTCAACAAGTTCGGTACAAAACTTTTCATCTGTGATAACTGTCCATCTGGATCCATATCGTGTTGAGGCCACACGCTTGCCCAGCAACTATATACCCGGAGTTCCCTTTGAAGTTTCGGTAAGAAGGGTTATATTTATTACATGTTCTCTCCTCTCAGCGCATCTACTCTAAAGTGGAGGTCCTCTGAGCCCATCTACTCTAAAGTAGAGGTCCTCCCGGGCATCTACTTTACAGTAGATGTCCTCTCAGCGCATCTACTCTAAAGTAGAGGTCCTCTGAGCCCATCTACTCTAAAGTAGAGGTCCTCTCGGGCATCTAATAACAGTAGATGTCCTCTCGGGCATCTACTCTACAGTAGATGTCCTCTGAGCCCATCAACTCTACAATATATGTACTCTGAGTCCACCTACTTTACAGTAGATATCCTCTGAGTCCATCTACTTTACAGTAGATGTCCTCTGAGTCCACCCACTCTACAGTAGATGTCCTCTAATTCCATCCATTCTACAGTAGATGTCCTCTGAGTCCATCCACTCTACAGTAGATGTCCTTGAGAACATCCACTCTACAGAAGATGTCCTCTGAGCCCATATACTCTGCAGTAGATATGTCCTCTGAGCCCATCCAGTCTACAGTAGATGTCCTCTGAGCCCATCCAGTCTACAGTAGATGTCCTCTGAACCCATCCAGTCTACAGTAGATGTCCTCTGAGTCCATCCACTCTACAGTAGATGTCTTCTGAGTCCATCCACTCTACAGTAGATGTCCTCTGAGCCCATCTACTCTGCAGCAGGTTTCCCATGAGCCCATATACTCTGCAGTATATGTCCTCTGAGCCCATCTAATCTACAGTAGATGTCCTCTTAGCCCATATACCCTTCAGTTGATGGTCATCTACTCTGTTGTGGATGTCCTCTGAGGTCATCTACTCTGTTGTAGATGTCCTCTGAGGTCATCTACTCTGTTTTAGATGTCCTCTGAGGTCATCTACTCTGTTGTAGATGTCCTCTGAGGTCAACTACTATGCTTTATATGTCCACTGAGGTCAACTACTATGCTGTATATGACTTCTGAGGTCTTTTAAAATTTTATTTGTTTTTCTTCTTGTTGGTCCCCCCTTCTAGGCCAAGGTTCTGCGCAATGATGGTGCTATGTTGAGGGACTTTAAGACTGATCTAACTGCCTATCTTACCAATGTCTATGGCAGCAGCGAGATGTATAATAAAACCACCTATACGCTGGATGGTCGTGGTGAACTGAAGATGAAATTTACCGTACCGTTGGGTGACAAAGATGAATATCATTCAGTTATAGTAAGTCCGAGCTGCATTTTCTCAAAGTATACAAAATAATAAAGATTTCGGCCCTAGGTTGATTATCAAGGCATTATTACCGACATTGGTAAAATACCGCGCAAACATTTGCACAGCAAAAACTATATTACGGCCAAGGTTTTAAATGAAAAGTAAGTGGAACTTTGAAAAAACTTTCAAAATTTTGCGGACGTTCGAAAAATGTTTTTATGAAATGCTTATCTCTTTAGGCCTATGGTAAATCAAGAAGTCTCCATAACCGTACGCTGCAGTGAACCAATGAAATATTTCATATATCAGATAGTGGGCCGGGGTGATATTCTCCTCTCCCGGGCTGTGGATGTAAGTTGTGCAAGGGATTTGAATTATATTTTTTATTTCTCTCACTCTCCCCCTCTCTCTCTCTCTCTTTAGGTGAATGACAACAACTTCCATACCTTCAAATTCCTGGCCACATTTGCCATGATGCCCCGGGCCAAATTGCTCGTGTATCTGGTGATAAATGGTGAATTTGTCTATGATGAGCAGGTCATAGAATTCGAAGAGAATCTTTTGAATAATGTACAAATTGAGGCACCACTGAGGGTACCACCGGGTCAAGATATTGACATTACCGTAACATCGAAGCCTTATAACTATATTGGTCTCATGGTTGTCGATCAAAATGCCATTAATATTCGTAAAGGTAGGTCAAGACAAAGTGCCTAAGAAGAAGCGGTCCGTAAAATGAACCCCCATGGATGCATGATCTTTGAGCGGGCTCATTTGGGTTAGCATTTATCGCCTAGTTCTTTAGGAATGGAAAACCTTTTCAAATGACTTTTTATTTAAGCTCCAGTAAAAATTATCTCTTAAAGAGAGGATACAACAAAAAGGGACTTCTATGCATTGGAAGCCCTGTAAATCTTCTCCTATAGATGACTAATGGACCTGTTATCCATTAGAGACTGTTTTTCATTTTTGGTCCTTCGATTTTATTATTTTCCCTTCCGTTTCTCCAGGAAATGATCTCTCAACCGCAAGCCTGATGAGAGCCCTCAATCAGTATGAATTGAATGATGTGAATACACCGATAGGTTCGCCTGGAAAAGAGTCAGGAGTCATAACTATGTCCAATACAGATTTCATCATTGAAAAGGAACCTGAGACAACCCCCGCTCTTCAGAGAGGCAACTACAATGAAGATGAACATAAATTGACAACAATACGTAAGACGGATATAGGTCCCGCCCATGCCATTGAGGTGAACACATTGGCCCCAGGCAAGGGACGTTATGCCTTCTCCTATACCCCCAAACCTTTCTGGCATAATCCTCGGATACACGTTATGCACCCCCCAGCAGATACTTGGCTATTTATGAATGTCACGGCGAGTAGTGAAGGTCGTACAACCGTTCATCGCCGGTTGCCACCCTCAATGACCTCGTGGGTGGTTTCGGCTTTTGCCTTGGATCCAGTACAGGGTATTGGTCTAACCAATCCCATAAAGAAAATGCAAACCTACAAGGAATTTTATATTACCAGTGAACTGCCATATTCCGTGAGATTGGGTAGGTGGCGAATTAAAGGATTTTTTACTCTGGGGTTTGATGCCTTCTTTTCTTCGAAACTTTCAGGTGAAACTTTGGCCCTACCATTTGTGGTGTTCAATAACAAAGATTCCGACTTGGATGTCGATGTCACACTGTACAATACCAATCAGGAATTTGATTTTCCCCAGGTGGATAATAAGTCGCAACCCAAACCAAGTAGGTTTTTTAAAACACGCCCCAAAATTTCAGAATCAAATAATTTTTAAAATGTTATTTTATAATTCCCAGAAGTTGAACTCTATAGCCGGCGCACCATTCGAGTGGCGGCCAAAACTTCCAAATCTGTGTCATTTATTGTCACACCCAAACGTGTGGGACCCATTGTTGTCAAGGCCGTGGCCACAAATCAATTGGCTGGTGACACTGTGGAATCCTCACTACTTGTCGAACATCCTGGTGCTATGGAAATTGTGAATAAAGGCTTCCTCTTCGAGATGGGTTCCAGTACTCAACGCAAGGCGAATGTCACCATTAATATACCCCGCAATGCCATACCGAATTCGGCGAAAATTGAAATCTCCGCGGTGGGCGATGTGATTGGCAGTGTTGTGGGTAATTTGGAAAATTTGATACGAGTACCCTCCGGCTGTGGTGAACAGACAATGATACGATTTATGCCAAACATTATGGTGCTGAAATATTTGCAGGTTTGATCCCGAAATTTGAATTCCCTTGAAATTTATAAAAATATTAATTTTGAAATTCTATAGCGTACCCGCCAACTGAACCTACCCTTGGAACTTCGCATTAAAAGTAATTTAGAGCTGGGCTATCAGCGCTTACTTTACTATCGTCACAAGAATGGTGGTTTCAGTGCCTTTGGCCTATCGGAGGAGAAAACTTCAACCTGGCTAACAGCCTATGTGGCAAAGGCGTTCCGTCTAGCAGCCGAATTTATCCAGATCGATGAGCAAGTTATACAAAAAGCCTTGGAATATGTGGTGTCACGCCAGACCACAGATGGTGGTTTCTCGGAAGGTGGCGATGTCTTTGAGCAATTCGATGATGAGGGTCTGAGTTTGAGTGCCTTTGTAACATTGGCTTTAATGGAGAATTTGGTAAGATGAGATATTTCAAGCTTTCCCCGAAAAGACCTTCCTGGTATTCTATGGGAGGACCGTCGTCTGGTCTTGCCACTTCTGGTCTTTTATTACAGGACCATGAGAAGACTTATTCGGGCCCCCTCTTCGGGACTTCTATGAGAAGACCCTCTTCGTGACTTCTATGAGAAGACCCTCTTTGTAACATATATGAAAAGACCCTATTCGAAATTTCTATGAGAAGATCCTTTTCGCGACTTCTATGAGAAAACTATCTTCGGGATTTTTATGAGAAGATCCTCTTCGGGACTTCTATGATTAGACTCTCTTCGGGACTTTTATGAGAAGAACCTCTTCGGGACTTTTATGAGAAGAACCTCTTCGGGACTTTTATGAGAAGAACCTCTTCGGGACTTCTTTGAGAAGACCGTCTTTGTAACATTTATGAAAAGAACCTCTCCGGGACTTCTATGAGAAGTCCCACTTCCCTCTTCGTAACATTTATAAAAAGACCCTATACGAAATTTCTATGAGAAGATCCTTTTCGGGACTTCTATGAGAAAACTATCTTCGGGATTTTTATGAGAAGATCCTCTTCGGGACTTCTATGATTAGACACTCTTCGGGACTTCTTTGAGAAGACCCTCTTTGGGACTTTTATGAAAAGAGCCTCTCCGGGACTTCTATGAGAAGTCCCACTTCCAGACGTCTATAGGAATGAGAAAATTCTCTTTGGGACTTCTATGAGGAGATCCGCTTTTGGACTTCTATGACAAGTCACTCTTCTGGCCTTCGATGAGAAGACCTTCTTCGGGTCTTCTGCTCTTCTCCGAGAAGACCTTCTGCTCTTCTCCGAGAAGACCTTCTTCTGCTCTTCTCCGAGAAGACCTTCTTCTGCTCTTCTCCGAGGAGACCTTCTTCTGCTCTTCTCTGAGAAGACCTTCTACTCTTCTCTGAGAAGACCTTCTGCTCTTCTCTGAGAAGACCTTCTACTCTTCTCATAGAGGGCCTTCTGATCCAGTTTGAGAAAACTTTCTGCTCTTCTGTGAGGAGATTGTCTCTAAAGAGAGAGAATAGAATATATTACACCCATACTTTGGAAAGATTGTTCCCTTAAAAATATTTTTTTACAGGACACCTATCCCGAGTACAACAACAATGTGAACAAAGCTTTGGATTATATTACCAGAAGTTTAGATGGGTCTAGCAATCTTCATGCTATGGCAATCGGAACATATGTCCTTTCCAAAGCCAATCACAATGCCAAAGTTGCTTTCCTGCAAAGATTGGATGGAATGGCCGTCAATGAAGGTAGGGAACAAAAAAGAATTTCAAAACGAATATGTTTTTCAAATCAAAATTTCCTTCAGATGGCCTAAAATGGTGGAATAAAACAGCCCCACCCACCGAGGCAATGTCACCCTGGTACAATCGCACACGTAGTGTCAATGTGGAAATTTCCTCATATGCCGTTATGTCGCTGCTGGAAAATGGTCTTATTGGTGATGCCTTACCCGCCGTGAAATGGTTAATGAATCAACGCAGTGATCTGGGTGGTTTTGTTAGTTCTCAGGATTCAGTGGTAGGACTGCAAGCCTTGGTGGCATTTGCCGAAAGATTTTCAAGCCAGGCCAATAATTTACAATTGGCTTTCCGATATGGTTCCAATGCTGAGACTGTGATAAATGTCAATGCTGAAAATTCCTTGGTTTTGCAAACAATTGAGGTAAGTTTTAATGTTCTGCCTTCGATTCTCGTGGTAGCTTTAATTCCTTTTGTTTCCAGCTACCAAATAATTTGAAAAACGTCACAGTATCGGCCACCGGAAATGGTTTGGCCTTGGCCCAAGTCACCTATCGTTATAATACCAATGTTACCAGTGCCTGGCCCCGATTTGTTTTGGATCCCACGGTTAATAGAAATTCCCATTCGGATTATTTACATTTGTCGGCATGTGCCAGGTTGGTTTTGACCTTTATAAAACATTATTATTTTACGGATTATGTTTAAACATTTATTTTGTAATTGTTTTAGTTTCATACCCGCCGAAGGTGATGCCACCCGCTCCAATATGGCTGTCATGGAAATTTACTTGCCCAGTGGTTTTGTCGTCGATACGGATACTTTGCCAACATTGGAATCGAGCGAAAGAATAAAGGTGAGGATTTCATATGTTCTAGTATCTACTACATCCGTATTACAAGTTTGGAAAAAAATAGATAAATCTGGTAAAAATTATTTTTTAAAAGAAGTAAGTACCAAAAATGGCGCCCAACAGTAAAACATGGATGTTGCAAATTAAATATCAGTAGTGCGATTCTCTAACACATTTTTTGAGTTACCGACAAAAATCGGTAACTTTGAAACCCAAAATTGTCATATAAAAATAACTTAAGGTTGACAACATTAGTATCTATCGGTAGGTCTTAGCGACTACTTTGATTTGATCGCTAATTTACCGACAAATTTCGTTAATTACCGAAATTACAAGCATTTTAATTTTACCGACTTTTGTCGGTAACACAAAAAATGAGTTAGAGAATTCCACTATAGGTCATATTAAATTATCTTTTCTTCCTTACAAACCAATTGTAGTGGAAAAAATAAATAACAAAAATGGCGCCCAACGTGAATTCTTAGTCGACTCAAAATAATTACTAAAACCTATTTTGCGTTAGATAGGTATACCTAACCTATTTAAATAAAATACATGGATTAAATGACGTGCTGTAAATGGCACCCAATGGTGGACAGATTTATATGGAGGGTATGTTAAGTTTGTCATTCCATTTGTAACACCTCGAAATATACATTTTAGTCCCCACAAAGTATATATATTCTTGATCAGCATAAAATTCTTTGTCGACTTAGCGATGTCCGTCCGTCTGCGGAAATCACTCTAACTTCCGAACGAAATGAAGTAGGTTGATACAATTCTCATACTCAAATGTCTGCAGGACTTTTGGTATTAAAAATGGGGCATGTAGGTTGATGTTTTGGTATAGGTTAAAATGAAAAAAACTGCAACCAACTTCAGACTGCTGTCATTTCTAACCCACTCGTCCGACAGCTGTTAAAATTATTCCAGTGACAGCTTTTTATATTTTTTAAAACCGTACAAGAGCATTTAGGAGAGAATTTTCCAGAAAAAAAGTTATTTGCGATGGAATTCAAACGGAATTCTTTACATTTGGCTGGAAAATCACAAGTTGCTATCGTTAGAGCACTCCAGCATTTAAATGTGAATAAATCTTCTGGGAGCATAGCCCGACGTCAAGGAAGAGGAAGGAAAAAAATAGCAACATCAGCTGAAATAGTTCGAAAAGTAAAGAAGCGACTTGATCGAAACCCGCATCGCAGTGGCCGAAAAATGGCTCGAGAGCTGAACATATTGCAATATTCCTGTTTAAATGAGAAAAGAGTCCAATCTTCCTCTTCGATTGTCAACTCTATTCTTTATTCGGATCCCTCTCCGAAGATCAATGTAGAAAATGTGAAAAGAAAGCCAACCGAATGGTTTGGCCGTTGATTCAATTCTAGTTTTTATTCAAAAATATATTCCTTAAGTACTACTGAAACTAATCTAACTTCACCTAATCGCAGCCCCACAAGTGGTCTTTTACATCTACTGAGCGCATCGATATCTGCGCGTGTCGGAAATAGCATCAAATTTTAGAATAAGTTTAGATTTGTTCGTATTAGTCACCTTTGGCACGAATTATGGCCTTCAAACGGCCAATGAAACCGTCACACGTTGCCTGAATGTTGCTCTGCGGTATTTTGGCCCATTCCCGGCGAAGCGCTTGCTTGAGGTGAACGACATTTTAGTATTTTTTAGAGCCAACCATGCTTTCCAAAATACTCCAGATACAATAGTCCAATGGATTGGTATCCGGAGATTTTGGTGGCCATTGTGCGCTGGAAATGAAGCGGTGAACCTCATTTTGTAACCATTCTTGCGTGGCGCGTGCTGAGTGCGATGGAGCTGAGCCCGGGTGGAATGTCCAAGGTCTGCGGCCAAAACGTTTGCGTGCCCAAAGCTTTAATACACCCTCCAGAATATTTTCGCGATAATATTCGGCATTTATTCTGATGCCACAGTCGATTAATACGAGGGGAGAGCGACCATCGGATGTTCTGGCGGCCCACACTATCACCATGGCCGGCGCTTGAGTTTTAGCGACGATCATTTTGTTTGTTTATAAACTGCTCTGCTGGACAAAGAATGTTTTCTCATCGGAGAAACCCAAATTCGGCAGTTCACCACTTTCGGCCAAGCGAAGCAACTATTAAGCTCTTTTGAGTCTATTTTCTTTCTGTTGCGGTGTATGCTCTTTCACTTTTTGGAATTTCAATGGCCTTACCCCGAGCTCATTTTTTCAATATTTGACGAATGGAAAATTGAGATATGTTCAGCTCATGAGCCATTTTTCGGCCACTGCGAGGCGGGTTTCGATTAAGTTGCTTCTTTACTTTTCGAACCATTTCTGCTGATGTTGCTGTTTTCTTCCGTCCATTTCCTTGACGTCGGACTACGCTACCGGTATCACGGTAACGAGCGATGGTACGAGACACAAAAAGATTTATTCACATTTAAACGCTGGAGTGCTCTAACGATAGGCACTTGTGGTTTTCCAGCCAAATATAAAGAAATCAAACTATCACGCTTGAACTCCATTACGTATAACTTTTCTTCTTGAAAATTTGCACCAAAATGCTTTTGTACGCTTGTAAACAATATAATGAGCTGTCACTGGAATAATTTGAACAGCTGTCGGACGAGTGGTTTAGAAATGGCAGCAGTCTGAAGTTGGTTGCAGTTTTTTCATCTCGCCCTGTATTATCCGAGATGTTTCAAATTGGAGGAGTTAGAAAATTCTGAAATTATGTACTAATATACGGTCAGTATGTGAGTCTGTATAATGTAAGAATGCATGCCAGTCGAGGATTTATTAATAGCCCAACTTACTACTGGACTCAGTAGGGCGCCACACGTTGGGCGCCATATCCATATGTACAGCAAGGCCACCTTATTATGAAGTGGGATATAGAGTTGGGATTCAAGCAGAATGGTTTGTTGGTGACCATTTGAAACTAGTTTTCTCAAAGGCACATGTAGAAAACGTTGCATTTAGAACCACTTTGTAGCGGGCAACATTGCATCCCCATTTTTACTGCTTCAGTCATTATTACTTTAAAACTATTGTTTTTTTTTTTCTTTTTTTGAAGTTATGTTGTTAGAAAATTCATAACCTCATATTCTCTAATGCTTACTTCATTCACTTAAACCGATTTCATTTGCATTTTTGTTCCATATTCCCCTCTTGCAGAAAGTTGAAACCCAAAAACGTAATACTGTTGTCATCATCTATTTCGATTACTTGGATCGCAGAGAAGTTTGTCCCACCTTGCATGCCTACAAAGTGGTGAAGGTGACCAACCACAAACCGGTACCTGTTATTATGTACGATTATTATGATAATGGTAAGTCGACAAAAAATATATATAATTTTTCAACATTTAAATAAAATTTTTTATTTCTTGAAAATAGTGCGTAGAGCACGTCAATTCTACCGAGCCCCCAAATCACAGATGTGCGACATCTGTGAACATGCCAATTGTGGATCGCTATGTGAAAAGGCCGAAAAACGTGAATCGAGAGGACAAGATGGCAATGATTTGCTGGAAGCCAATTTCAACAACAATGCAGGCCAAGCTCTGGCGTCCACAATTTATGGAGCAATATTAACAATTTCTTTGGTTTTCATTACAAGAAACTTATTAATTTAATTTTAGATTTTGTTAATTTTGTATCTATTTTTTTAAATGCCCATGAAAAGAAAGCTTTAACATTTTTATAAAAACAACGACTAATACTCTTTTCTAAAAAAAAACTATTAATAAAAACCGATAATTGTATGCTATACCTAACTATAGAATAAGTCTGTAAATTTATGTAAAAATAGCTAATAATATTAATTAATTAAATCATCTACAAATATTGTATTAAAGACTAATCTTAATTAGTATTACTAAAAGTTAGTATTAAGCAATAAAGATAATTACAAAATTTTAATAAATATAAAAAATAAAATTGGAACCTTCTAAACGAAACCAAAAGTTGTTATTTGTATTTTCATGATTAAAAGCAATAAAGAAAAAATCAAAAGTCGGGCGGGGTCGACAATGTAAGCTACCCGTAAGAAATAAACGTTTATGCGACCTGTATTTTATTTTAAAAAATACATGGAGAGACGGACGGACGGATATGCATAAATCGACTCAGAAAGTGATTCTATGGAGATCATCAAAAGGAACAATGGTCTCTATTAATTTCTTCTGCGTGCACAAGAACATTAAACCCCTGTATCAAAGGGTGGACTAGGGTAAAAATAATATTATCGGTATATACATACAGGGTGAGATAAAAAAAAACGCAACAAAGTCAAACACCATAATTTTTACTTTTTAATTTTATTGAATGAAAGCAAAAAATGTCGGAAATAGCATCAAATTTTAGAATAAGTTTAGATTTGTTCCAATTGGTCACCTTTGACACGAATTATGACCTTTAAACTACCAATAAAACCGTCACACGCTGCCCGAATGTTGCTCTATGGTATTTTGGCCCATTCCCGGCGAAGCGCTCGCTTGAAGTGATCGACACTTTGGTATTTTTTAGTGCCAACCTTGCTTTCCAAAATACTCCCGACACAATAGTCCAACGGATTGGTATCCGGAGATTTTGGTGGCCATTGTGCGCTGGAAATGAAGAGAGGAACCTCATTTTGTAACCAATCTTGCTGAGAGCGATGGTGCTGAGTCCTGTTGGAATGTCCAAGGTCTGCGGCCAAAATGTTTGCAAGCCAAAGGCTTTAGTAGACCCTTCATAATATTTTCGCGGTAATATTCGGAATTTATTCTGATGCCACGGTCGAATAGTACGAACGGAGAGCGACCATCGGCTGTTATGGCGAACAATATCACCATGGCCGGCGCTTGAGTTCTGAGTTTGAGTGGCCAACCGAAGGTGTACATTTTCAGCTGATCTCTTTGGCAAGTAAACACGATCATTTTGTTTGTTTACAAATTGCTGGACAACGAATGTTTTCCATCGGAGAACACTTTCGGCCAAGCGAAGCAACTCTTTAGCTCTTTTGAGTCTAATTTCTTTCGGTTGCGATGTAAGTTCTTGCACTTTTTGGAATTTCAATGGCTTTAACCCGAGCTCATTTTTCAATATTTGCCGAATGGAAAATTGCGATATGTTCAGCTCACGAGCCATTTTTCGGCCACTGCGGCGCGGGTTTCGATCAAGTCGCTTCTTTACTTTTCGAAGCATTTGTGCTGATGTTGCTGTTTTTTCCCGTCCACTTCCTTTATGGTCTCGTACCATCGGTACGAGACACATAAGATTTATTCACATTTAAATACTGGAGTGCTCTAACGATAGCCACTTGTGGTTTTCCAGCCAAATATTAAGAAATCACACTATCACGCTTGAATTCCATCACGAATAATTATTTTTCCTGGAAAATTCTAGCCAAAATGCTTTTGTACACTTCTAAACAATATAATGAGCTGTAACTGGATAATTTTAACAGCTGTCGGACGAGTGGCTTAGAAATGACAGCAGTCTAAAGTTGGTTGCAGTTTTTGCTTTCCACTCTCTATATCTTCGTCCGATTTGCCTTTTATTGTGCACCAAACGTGTAATATTAGGCCAAATTGAATGGAATTAGGTACATATAACTAAATTGAGCCTAGATATAAATTTGGTATTTGGTAGATTATATATTCTTCATCCGATTTGTTAGATTTCTCCTTCACAGCCATAATATGCACTCCGTATATCAAATACATCTAAGAAATTCTTTTGCCAAATTTTATTGAGATCGGATCAGATTTGGATATAGCTCTCATATATATCTTCACAACATTTCACATTTATTGTGCCTAAAAAGCTCAATTAGGATGGATTTTAGTGAATAATACGCATTCAAAAACCATCATATCCGCTATGTTTTAATTTCATAAATTCCCCATAAAAGGGTTTATTTCTTATATTTAGCTCTACTATATATGCAAAGTGATGTAGGGTATTATAAATTCGGCCCAACCCGACTTTGGTCTTTCTTTATACATATAGTTAGAAACCCAATGGGTCCAAATACTCAATATATTTTTTTGGTATTTCAATATTCGTAACATGTGAATGAATCTGATAGCAATCGGATATGCTTTCACAAACTACGAAATAAATAGAATTTTTTTCTTTTGTAGGTCATTGTTTTGTATTATTTCCTATAAAATATTTAAAACTAAAAATGAGAAGAAAACGGACAATGCAATTAAATAAATAATATGTATAATTAGACAGTGTTTATAAATAATTTTCTTGATGTGAGAGTTTTAATTCCTAATCAATTTAATAAAAAAAAACAAAAATGCATAATTTAGATACAATTTAAGACCATAAAGACGAAATCGAAACTAGTTGAAATAAATAATAATATTATAAATTTTGTACAATTATAAAAAAGAAAATGTTGCCATTGCTTATTATTATACAATTAGGAAATTAATTAGATAAAAAAAATTAGAAATTAAAATTATAAAGTTGGTTCGATGGTTCAAATGCATAATGCTATCCAGAGAGTTTAGGAAAAAATCTTCTACCATCCTCTAATTACTGGTCACTTTAAACATAGCGAATAAATTCTATATTCTAAATACTATTTCACCCTATAATTTTTCGAATCAATAATGATAACATTTATAAAAATGGAAGTGTTGCCACATCATTCCAACATCTTTCTACATGAATTTTTGCCCTTGCACCTTCCTTCCATGCGAAAACGCCAAATTGCAAATCTATTTCCGCTTGGGTTTCTTACTCTCCATCAGACTCATAATGGTTTTGCGCAACTCTTCCGTTTCACTCAATTCCAATTCGTAATTGCGGATTTGTTCGTTTTTCTCTTGCAGCTGCGACTCCAGCACCGTAATAACACCATCTGATTTCTTTTTAGCATCCCTTTGTTCTTCCAGAGCCTTTTGTGTCTTAGCCAGCTCCTTTTCTTTCTCCTCAATGTGCCGGGTTTTATCCTTCAAATCCACTTCATAGGCGGCAATGGTCTTCTTGAGTTTATCAATGCGCAATGACTGAAAAGGGATAAAGAATAAAAATTACATTTTGGAAAAGGCATTAAAAAATTTCAAAGGTCTATATACCAAAGAAATCGAATGTTCTCTAATAAAATAGAAAATCAGTAAGGAAAAGTCAAAATTCGGGTTGGGTCGACTATATGATGCCCTACACCACTATGCATATTTAGTAAAGCTCCCACCTATCAACAGTTGGCTTTAGAGCAGTAATAGTTTGCTATAAAGTGCATGATACCACTTGGAGAAGGATTATATTAAAAAATATATATATCGCAGCTGAGTTCACTCCATTTGGGCTGATATTAGTCATTATTTGCACAAATCCAAATCTAAGCCTTTCTCGATTAAATTTGGCAAAGGTATTTCCGAGCTCTATAAGATTACCTGATATCCAAATATCATTGCTGTCGAACGCATATTACGAATTTGGGGGACTTAAACACTAAACCGGATGAAACATATATATGGGAGCTATAGCGTTATAAAAAAAAGTTTTTCTCCAAATTTGATGTACTTGCTTCCAGACTGAATTCGATCGGATATGCCAAAATTCAGGTCATTTGGACTAATATAGGCTATTTGGTGCAAAATTAACCCGAAATCGGTTGAAGATATATATTGAGCTATATCCAAATCTGAACCGATAAAATTTGATACACTAATTTCCGAGTTGTATCTGATATCTGGCACCAATGATCATTTTTGTGGAGTGCATATTACGCATGTGAGGGACTTAAAACCCCAAATCGGATGAAACATACACATATATGGGAGCTATAGCTTTATCTGAACAGATTTTTTTGATGTACTAGCTTCTAGACTGTTATTCGGTGGGATGTACCAAAATTCAGTTCATTAGGACTTATGTTGACCATTTGGTGCACAATTAACCCGAAATCGGTTAAAAATATATGGGAGCTATATCTAAATCTGTTCCGATTATCACCAATTTTAATAGGGATCGTCCTCGTGACAAACAAATATTGTTTGGAAATCGGATAATAAATGCGACCTGCATTTTGTTCACAAGAATACATTGACAGACGGACTGACATGCATAAATCGACTCAGAAAGTAGTTCTATGAAGATCCTCAAAAGTAACTATGGATCTATCTCGCTTTCATCTCCATGTTATAAACACATGCACAAAGACATAATACCCTTAGCATTATGTAGTGTAGGGTGCAACAAGTAAAAAAGAAGTAACTTCGACCGGGCCGATCTTTGAAAACCCTCCACAATTTGGAACAATTTTGGCAATTTTCAAAAAAATAAAATCCGTTAAAAATGCTGTTAAAATCTTAAAAATACCGAATGTAGCCGTTATATTAGGGTCTATGCGACGATGTGGACCTGGATAGGCAACTTTTGTCATAAACCATTACAATATTTAAATGCGAAACTTGACTAAAAAATTCGGTGAATAATGTAGCTAAAATGATCAAAATTCCGAATACAGGGAGGTATCGTTATATTGGGGCTATAGGCCTGCATACACAATTTTCTGTCATAGGCTGTAGTTACCATTACGAACTTCAAACATCATTTGAAACAATTCCGGTGAATAGTGTCGCTAAAATCATCAAAATACCGAATATGGGGAGGTACCGTTATATAGGGGATATATAATTATCTCTCATAGGCTGTAGTATTCATTACGAACTTCAAACACCAAATTTTAAATAATTCCGGTGAATAATGTCGCTAAAATTATCAAAATACCGAATACGGACTGACGGATAGACGGACGGACATCGCCAAATCGACATAGAATTTAAAGCTGATCAAGAAAATATATACTTTGTGGGGTCTAAAATGTATATTTCGAGGTGTTTCGAACAAACACCTCCACCATACTATGGTGGAGGAATCAAGTTTTGGGAATTTCATAAAATGAACGAGTGGCAAATATCTCATTGCCATGACCAATATCAATTGGCTGTTCTTCTGTACATAGATATGTTAACTGGGATCACACTCCATGAGCAAATCTCATTTCTTAACCACGGAGACATAATTAGCATTAGCTCGGAGATTTTATCAACTCCCCACACCGGTGGGTCCTTATTGACAAAACGAAAACACAAACATTCCGCCTTTGAATAAACTTGCATATGTTGCTTCTCCCAGGTGATGTTGTTTCTTGAAGAAACTTTGTCCCAACAAATCGGATACTATCACGACAGAATACCGTCAGGAGGGGCCTTCGCTTTTCTTCGCTGTCACTGATAGCTTATCGGTATTCATTTGTCCTAATCGAAAACTATGGCATTCAACTTGAAATTGTTTCTAAACTATGTAAATTCAGTCGTCCCATAGTTTCCATGACAACCACTCGACCATGTGCAAAAACCATGGGTCATTGTGCCGGCTGACCATATTGGCAATTGTCATGGCAACATTTAATCAAAAGGTGTGAAATTATGAAGTGAATACCACACTTCCATATTGACCAAGGATAAGATCTAGGATATAAAGGATATTACAATTTTAAAGAAAAAAAATGCAAAAAATATTGCCTCTTCTCCTAGTGTCCACAGCGATATTCCAATTTTCCACGATATGGTGTCAAGAAGAGGTACCCTCATTTCGTATTGTGGCACCCCAGACACTGTGCAAACACGACACGGACGACAATGAACCATCCACCGGCAAACAGCAAGCCGATGGTATCACTGTGGCCTTTCAACCCAAAGATGGCATTAAATTGTCGTACAAATTTAAAATATTCTTTAAAATTTTGGGACCCGATCCCTTGACACAGCGTGAAACACTGTTGGTTTGGAAGGCCGTAAGGGCCTTGGAACAGCAATTAAATACCAAGGAACGTTTACAAATTTCCAAAGATAATATGGCAATGATTAGTAAACGGCAAGTGGTACCGGGTGTCAGTTACATTTTCCATGTGGTGGGTATAACCGATGCCGGAGAGACAACACGAGAACAGGTATTCACATTGGACTATGCAGATGGAGTGCTGCAAAACAGCAATGTACCCGAAGGTATAAATTTGCTTTTGATTGGTTCCGAGGAAATTGTGGCCAATATGCAATATAATGTGGTGGCCCGAGTGGGTTTCTGTAAACCAAAATATGACTACTATGTGCAATGGCATTTGGAAGAGTTGGAGGGGAAATATCGCAACGAATTAGAACGTGTCATCTCAAGTGTTTTGATAATACCGGCAAATGTTTTAATGTCGGAGCGTAAAACTTCGGTGGAGGCCCAAGTTCGGGAGTGGCAAAGTAAACGTCTTCTCGCCAAGGAGGTCATTATGGTGGAGGTTTTGAATAAAGGTTTCCAGGCCATGATTGTGCCAACGGCAGCACGTATTGGTCAGGGTACAAGTTTGACCTTTCGTGTATTCTTAAGGAATTTCGATATGATAATGGAGGCCAACATCAAATGGCTACTGAGAGATGCCAATACCAAAATGATTCTGATGAGTCGTGAGGATAAGGAAAACGAGTTTCGTGTTAAATTCGAAAAGGCTGGCCTTTATCAGGTATTGGCCAATGTCAGTATTAATGATATTTCCTCAAAGGTCAAGGCAGAAATTGAGGTCGTGTCTTCGTTGTTTGTTAGCTATGATTTCCAGCAAATTCCCAATTTAAATCCATCCTCAACGGAAGAATTCCGATTTTCTGTTATGGCCATGAATTTGGTGGCCAACTGTGAGGCCAGTTGGCTGAGTGCCCAGGAGGATGGTTTCCAGTATATTGCCCCAGGGGTTTTGGACAAAGAGCACTATGGCTATAGTAAAGTGTCAAATTTGGAAAAATATTATTTGGAGGAAATCATTGATTTCAGCAATTCCACGGTAAATCGGGAGATAACTTTGCAAATACCGGCCGCAGGCAAAGAAATGAAAAATGAGTTAACATGGCCCGGCTTTGAGGGAGATGCCATGTATAAGTTTCGTTTAGATGTCACATGTCCAAAGCCTTTTCAAGAGAATCGTTTGCAAATGGAAGCGGGCGAGGAGGATCATCAAGAGGAACCTTGGAAGAGAATGATTACCAGCTATTTTACCATAGATCTGCATACAAACTCCCCACCCCAGGCCTTGAGAGTTTTCATGGAACCCTTGCAGGGTATTGCCTTGAAGACAATTTTCAATTTCAATTCCCAGGAAGCAAAGGATTTACTTTTGGATTCACCGGTACGTTATGAACTGAAAATAAAGTGGCAAGAGTTTATTTTATCAATTGGACAATATTTTCAATATAAAAGTTGGCAGACCATATTACCCTTTGGTGGTGGTGAGAGCAATTCTCCATTGGAAATAATGGTGGAGATATGCGATATACGTCAGGCATGTAGTCAAATTCGTAATGACACCCAATTGCAGGTCCACTATGAGGAACTAAGTGATGTGGAATATGAGGAATATTTGAAAAATGTTAATGCCCTGTTTATGCGAACGGATTACCAGGAAGGTCTGAATCTTATTACCATGGCATTGCTTACATTTCGCAATGGCCACTCTCAATATAGGGAAAGATTTGAGAAATATACCAAAGTTTTGATTAGCAAAGAGCTGGATAAACTCTTGGAACAACCCGAACATCAGGTGTACATAAATCCCGACATCACACATTTGTTTGTGGAAAAATCAAAACAATTGCTAGATTTTACCCAACAAATGGATAAGGCCACTTTGGAGAAGTTAATTGAAATTTTGGATAATATCATTGACAGCCCATCGGCGGTGGGGGTGGAAGACAAACGTTTCAAAAGACTTGTTGCCATGAAACGCTCGAGACGCATTGTCAATCAGAATCAGGATTTATATCAACATACCCAATTGCTGCTGCTTGAAGATTTACTCAAGGCCGAGGAGTATAAGCCTGAGGCAATGAATAAATTCATGGAGAAACTATCGAAATTATCGCAAAAACTTTGCTTGAAGAAAAATCTAAATATGGAAACTTTGAAGAGCAATATGGTCTCGGTGACTCTGAAACAAATCAAGGGAGGCGATATGCAGCAGACCACCCATATTAGCGAAGATATTTTCGATAAAATCACTTTGCATTTTAAACTTTTGCAGAATAATGCCAAATACTGTTTGGTCATAAAGACATATAATTTTCCAGGAGATTTTCCAAATGACGATGATGACGAGGAGCCATCCTCCTCCTCTTCATCTTTGTTGCAATATAATATTTATGAAATCATGGATGATGGCAGCCACTTGAAAGAGTTCCAGCTACAATCCAACGAGGAGTTGAACAGTAATCAAGGCAATAATATACAACTCGATATCTATCCCCTGGAACAAAGGGTAAATAAATGTTTTATGAAATCCACATATAATTCACAATGGTCCATGGATACCTGTAAATCCCTGGATTTGGGAAATTTCCTACGTTGCTCCTGTTCTCAGACAGGTTTTGTGAAGACCGTTTTTATTTCTTCGGCAACCACGACCACCTGGAGACCACCCATTCGGAATAGGGACACCACAACACCGCAATTTTCTCTATCGTCACCCCTGCCAACATTTATTTCCCTAACCACACGTCAACCATCGATTATTACCACAACTTTGGAAACCACACAAATTCCGTTTACCAGTACTCTGAGATCTTTTTATCCCACACCTAATGGTATTTCAACAATTCCCACATTCCAACCAACGCCTCCAGTAGTAGAAAGGAATACAGTAAGCGATCCACAGCCTACCGCACATATGGAAATTGTGCAACGGGCTGGCTCACCTTTTTACTATATAATCCCATTGATATTAATTCTATTATTTTTGATTGTGACATTGCTCGCTTTTCTATATCGTCGGCGGATGCAACAAACTGCCGGTTTGGTCAAAAATATACCCCCCTCAACGGTGTTGGAGAGTCGTAAACCTGCAAGCGGTATCAAATATGCAAATATTCAAGATGTTGATATGTTAAGTGGTAATTTTTAAAATAGATTTAATTTGCTTTTATTTATGCTAAGCTTTAAGATGTTGCTATTTATTCCATTCTGAAAAAAATATAATAAACTCTCTCCTTCTTCAATAATTTAATTTTAAAGTTTAAATTGAAATGGCGATAGGCCCGGCTTTGCCAATGTCATTCACAGTGAGGAATCCTTACTCCACGTCTTCGTATAGAATTTTTAACGGATTTTATTATTATTAATATTGTTATAATTTTTATTTATTATTATTTTTTTTTTTTTTTTGAAAATTACCAAGTTTTTTAACGGATTTTATTATTATTAATATTGTTATAATTCTTATTTATTTATTTTTTTTTTTTAATTACCAAGTTTTTCCAAATTTTGGAAGGTATTCTAAGTTCGGCCCGGACGAACTTAAAGCTTTCTTATTTTTTTATTTATTTATTTTATTTATTTTGTATTTATTTTTTTTTTTAATCTTGCTGAAATTGTTAGATTTCTATTGCTAAGCTCAAACTGTATTGAGAACAAAGTATCTAATTAGGAACACAATTTTATAAAAAAAAGTCGGTTTGGCCGACAGATGTATACCCTCAGTTAACATTCGATTATTTAAATTTGTATTGACTTCTGTTATGATTATTTAAATTTTGGATATAATATTGCGACGTGCCAGCCTTGGACTACTTTGGTTACTTCCTACACTTTGAGATGTGATAATTTTTAGAAAAGGTTAAAAATTTGAACCTTTTGTGGGGGAGTGGACCGCTATATTCCATTTTCACACCAAACTTTGGGTTAGTAAAAAAATTCGGATGTGTGAAATTTGAAGACAATCGAACTTGTACATCACACATTTTGTAAGAGTTGTAATTATATTAAATGTTGACTCTTTGTGGAGGTGGTACTTGATGGAGTGGACCGATATTGTCAATTTTCGCACCTAACCTAACACTGACGCAAATATTAAGATTTGCAACGTTGGAGCAAAATCAGATTATGGCTTTTCTTTCTGTGCAGAATAATTTTTTTTTTTTTTGAAAATTTCGAACTTTTGTGGGAGAGATACCAGAAGGAGTGGACCAATACATTCCGTCTTCACACCAGACCTTAGGTTAATAAAAATATTCGGATGTGTGAAATTTGAAGACAATCGGACTCTTACATCACATTTTATAAGAGTTGTAATTATTTAAAATTTTGACCCTTTGTGGTGGAGTTACTTGATGTGGACCTTTTGTGGGGGAGGTACCAAAAGTAGTGAATCGATATATTCCACCTTAACAGTAGACCTTGGGTTAATAAAAATATTGGGACGTGTGAAATTTGAAAACAATCGGAATCTTACATCATATTTTATAAGGGTTTTAATTACCCAACATTTTGAACTTTGTGGGGTAATATTTAATGGACTGGACCAATATTGTCAATTTTCGCAGCTGACCTAGCAATGACGTAAATATTAGGATTTGCAAAGTTGGAGCAAAATCCTGTCCTTTCTCTTTTCGTGCAATAAATTCTTTTCTTTGAAAATGTTGACATTTTGTGGGGGAGGAGTGGACCGATATTGCCCATCTCCGAACTTGATCTAAGTTTGGCAATAATATTACGATGTACCAATTTTGAATTAAATCGGATACTCCCTTCATACTCATCGCTAGATCAAAAGAGACCTAGGGTCTAAAAATGTTATTTTGACGGCGCGTTTAGAACGTATCAAATTGTATATACCCTCTGTAGCCATATGGCTGAGGGTATAAAAAAGTACCATGTAAAACTTACACTTTCTTTGGAGGCCGTATGTAACTTATCCAACTCTTCTGTCTTGGCTTGCAACTGTTCCTTGAGATCATTGTGTTCCTTTTGCAAAACTGTAATTGAAAAATATAACATTTATATGCAAATAATAAAAATAATTAATATTACCAATCATTTCTGAAACTTTGACGGCCAAACGTTTTTCACTAATTTGCAGGGCTTCCGATTGTTCCGACAATTTCTTCATTAGTTCGGTCATGTTACGTTTTAAATTATCCTTTTGATGTTTCAAATCTTTACATTGAGTTTGAAGAGACTCTTGATTGATGTGTAATTCAAAATTCATTGTGTGATATTTCTCCAGCTCGGCATTTTGAAAGTTGATGCGCTGCGACAAGTGGGTTATCTGCAAATGGCAAGTACAAAAATATTAATTCATCATTTTTTTATTGTTTATCTATTTATTTAAAATCGGGAAGAGAATGTTTTTATCATTACCTCATTGCTGGCATCTTCCAAACGTTTTTGCATGCTGGCCTCGGCCGCCTGTAAATTCTTTATTTTATAATTAAATAATTCCATTATCTGTGATGTGGCCACATTATTTAATTGATTATTTCTTTCGGCATTTGAGATAAGTTCAATTAAGGCATTTAAACGTTCCTCCAGTTCCTTGCTGGCAAATGTTTTGTGACTTTTCAGAATTGCATTCAAATTACGCCATTGATCACCGTTTGGCACGGGGGATGACAAATGGATTTGATTGGAGGATGAATTCAATTTGGAAATGTGCTAAAAGAAAAAAAACCCTTTAGAAACCTAATATATTTTTATATTTTACCATTTACCTTGGCCACCTCATACTGGGGAAAATGTTCAAATTGTGATATTTGAAAGACGGCCGAACACACTCGCTCCCCACCGCTCACCATGGCTCTGGCCAGGGCATGTTGTATCTGTGGTAATTGCAATAGATTGCAACACTTCTCAAAATATGCCTTCTTGGCAATATCGGTAAAATTGATTAATAAAAGTAAACAAAATATGGATTTTTCTATCTCCTCCATGGACAAACAATTGTCGGGCATTTCTGGCTTCACCGCCAGTAGTGGGGCAAATATTTTATCAAAATAGGATTCTGTAATTTTGGAGAGTATTAGCTTTTCCGTTTTCGTTTGGTGCAGCAATGAGACCAATAATTGTAAAACTGCAGCGGTGTGTAAAGGGGATGTTTCCGGTTTTTCTGACGTTGTTATTAACTGTATTATTATAGAAGGATCACGTGAAATGCGAGGAGCAATGGATTCCTTTTTGGCTGAAAGAGTATTAAATATAGATTATTTTAAATTTGTTTTTAAATGAAATGTATACAACTTACCCAATCTCACCAAACTATCCAGTAGATTAATGGCCTGAACACCACAAATTTCGGATTGCAACCAATTCGATAAAAGTTCAAATATTCTTGGTATATTTGAATCTAAACTAATTGCAGCATTTTCTTTACCCTCCTCATCTATTTGACCCGACAGATCCATAATGTGCTCCATCAACTCGAACAACAAGCCCATACATATTTGTTGATGTTTTCGAGAATCATCGTTTGAATCGTCCATTGCTCGTCGAGCTTCTAGGCGCTGAAAGAAAATCATTTCAAAGGACGGTAGTAAAATGTACGATTGTAATAAAAGATAATAAGCCGGGAACACATCCTCCATATGCAATTTTCGTATTTGAGTAAGAAAAGAAAACGGCTGAAAGTTTGACATCGTTCTTCCCGTTTCCATTCAAAAAAAAATTGATACTTACATCCAATAATTTTTCAATATCCTCAAAATAGAATTGATAACTCATCATGGCCTGATGCAGACCACTATGTGCCTTGGAATCTTTTAGAAATTCCACAATATGCCTCAAATGCGGAACATTCCAGTGTTTAATGCACTCATCGACGGTTGCAAAACACGAGCGTATAAACAAATGCAATTCCTTCTGGTCCGGTGAATGGATATCCTCCGATAGAATAATTAGCATTTTATTCGCCAACACACCATAGTTCTGTATGCGTCGACTAAAGGTCGAGATATTTACGGAACGTAAAAATAAAAAGAGAACAACAAAGTTCTTGTAGCATAAATTGATGAGCACCGACAAAGCCAGCTGGGCGTGCGTTTCTTCACCCTCCTCTGTGGCCTGATATACAATGTGTACCAATTGTTCCAGCAATACCACAATATATGGCTCCTCCCACGTTATTTGTATGCCAAACGTAAGCTCCTGCAAAAGGGTCAACACCTTTTGCTGTTTATCCCCACCGGTTGTACGTTTCAGCAGAAATGTAAGCAATGGTATAAAACGATATTCATCCACAATGGATTTGCGGGCATCCAGATTTTTCGAACAATGCTGCAGCAACGATACGCATGCCCACAAAGCATCCGAATCGGAGGATAAACTTCCCATAACAGCATGCAAATCAATATAGAATTTGGATACTTCCAAATTGCCCGGAGCAAAATGTTGCGATTGTATGGTCGTGCTGAGCAGGGAGGCACTGCGATTCAATAGTATCAGGGAATCCTCCGATTTGTTGTTGCGATACAAAGCGGCTTGTGTGCTAAAATCTCGTACATAACTAATTGCATTGGCGGCATCACTGCTATGGCTGCTGATTGTGTTGTTCTTGCGGGAGCTCATTTTCACCAAAAGGTATTATTTTTTATATGTTATTTGTCTTTAAATAAAAAATAAGTTTAAACTTGAAGAGAGCGGCACAATTAGGTTGTTGTTGTTTGAAATTTCACAAAAAAAATCAACTGTTTGGAGTTGTCAAATGGTAAGATGTGTTTAGTCGGCACTTGGCAGCGACATCTATATGTTAAAATAATTTAACATGATTAGTGGAAATACGTAATAAAACGTAACGTTGTGTACGTTTGCGCTTTTTGCACACAAAATAAGGGTATCTTACGATCGAACATAAAGAAAGATTTATACAATAGTAGTTGTTTTTGTTAAACGATTCAAATTAAGCAGCAGCTTATTAAAAATTTAACTTATAATAAAAATTTTTAAACTAATGGAGAACTAATTATATTAACTTATATCAACAAGTTACATTTGTAACAATGTATCCAATTCGTATTTTTTCTTTCCAAAAAAAAAAATGCAAACAATTAACCATAATCAAAAAACATGCGAAATCGTTAGTGATAAAAGGATTTTTTTAGCATACACATGTTCTTGTGTTATGCAGGGTGATATAAAAAACTGCAACAGAATCGAACGCCATACTTTTTACATTTTGTTTTAAAAATTGTACTGAATAAAAGCAAAAAATGTCGGAAATAGCATCAAATTTCAGAATAAGTTTAGATTTATTCGATTTGGTCACCTTTGGTACGAATTATGGCCTTTGAACGGCCAATGAAACCGTCACACGCTGCCCGAATGTTGCTGCGGTATTTTGGCCCATTTCCGGCGAAGCGCTTGCTTAAGGTGATAGACACTTTAACATTTTTAGTGTCAACCTTGCTTTCCAAAATACTCCAGACACAATTGTCCAACGGACTGGTATCCGGAGATTTTGATGGTCATTGTGCGTTGGAAATAATTAATACGAGCGAAGAGCGATCATCGGTTGTTATGGCGGCCCACACCATCACCATGGCCGGCGCTTGAGTTCTGATGGCCGCCCAAAAGTGCACATTTTCAGCAGACCTCTTTGGCAAGTAAACACGATCATTTTGTTTGTTTACAAACTGCTGGACATCGAATGTTTTCTCATCGGAGAAACCAAATTCGGCAGTTCACAACTTTCGGCCAAGCGAAGCAACTCTTTAGCTCTTTTGAGTCTATTTCCTTTCCGTTGCGGTGTAAGTTCTTGCACTTTTTGGAATTTCAATGACTTTACCCTGAGCTCATTTTTCAAAATTTGCCGAATGGAATATTACGATATGTTCAGCTCACGGGCCATTTCTTGGCCACTGCGACGCGGGTTTCAATAAAGTCCCTTCTTTACCTTTCGAACAATTTCTGCTGATGTTGCTGTTTTCTTTCTTCCGACTTCCTTGACGTCGGGCTTCTCTACCAGTATCACGGTAACGAGCGATAGTACGAGATACAAAAGATTTATTCACATTTAATTGCTGGAGTACTCTAACTATAGCCACTTGTGGGTTTCTAGCCAAATATAAAGAAATCACATTATGACGTTTAAATTCCTCACGAATAACTTTTTTTTTGGAAAATTCTCACCAAAATGCTTTTGAACGCTTGTAAACAATAGAATGAGCTGTCGCTGGAATAATTTTAACAGCTGTCGGACGAGTGGCTTATTGGAAGTGACAGCAATCTGAAGTTGGTTGCAGTTTTTTCATCTCAACCTATATGTCGGAATCAGGTTAAAAATGCCTAGCTCTGAAAAAAAAAAATTAAAAATCCGAGAGATTTGGCTAAACTACAGTTGTTTCCCGAGACTATGCAATTTACTTATATCACAAAAAATCCTCGTTCTTGACTAGTTAGCATTCTCATCATCTAAGGAAAGATCTTTCCCAATATCAGGAAACAATTTTCTGTTTCAGAATCAGGGATTCCTCAAAGGGGGGAACATTTTAACATTATTGGTTCAGCGTTGCCTGCCTCTCAAATATTCAGGCCTAGATAATTTGAGACAGAGTCAGCTTTGAAAGGGAATTCGACAAACGAAAAGAGAAATGCCTTATTGCGATTTATTTCTCTAGGAATGTTATGTGTAGAAGGGGGAGTCTAAGCTGTTCCCCATCCTAATTTATGGTGGTATTCTTCCAAAATAAAAAAGGTTTACCAGAGTGAAAAACAAGTAAAAAGCTGTGAATTCGTTAAAAATTCTATTAAAATCTTAAAAAAAAAACTGAATGTAGTTATATTAGGGTTTATACGACGACGTGGAAATGCACGGGCGACTTTTGTCATAGCCTGTAGAATCCATTACGAACTTCAAATACCAAATTTGAAACAATTCCGGTAAATAATGTCGCTAAAATCCTCAAAATACCGAATATCGGGAGGTGCCGTTATATGGGGGCTATACGAAGACGTGGACATGCACAGACAATTTTCTATCTTAGGCTGGAGTATCCATTACGAGCTTCAAATACCAGTTTTGAAACAATTCCGGTGAATAATGTCGCTAAAATCATCACAATACCGAATATCAGAAGGTACCGTTATATGGGAGCTATACGCAGACGTGGGCCTGTACGGACAATTTTCTGTCTCAGGCTGAAGTATCCATTACGAACTTTAAATACAAAATTTGAAACAATTCCGGTGAATAAAGTCGCTAAAATCATCAAAATACTAAATATCGGGAGGTACCGTTATATGGGAGCTAAAAGAAGATGTGGACCTGTACAGACATTTTCAGTCATAGGCTGTAGTACACATTACGAACTTCAAATACCAAATTTAAAACCATTCCGGTGAAAAAAGTCGCTTAAATCACCATAATACCGAAAATAGGAAGGATAGCTATAACAAAACGTGGACCTACATGACCCATTTTCAATACCAAAAGTCTTGCAGACATAATATACATTTGAGTAAAATTTTATCAACCTACTTCATTTCGTTAGGAAACTAGAGTGATTTCCACAGACGGACGGACATCGGACGGACATATATATACTTTGTGGGGTCTAAAATGTATATTTCGAGGTGTTACAAACGGAATGACAAACTTAATATACCCCCATACTATGGTGGAGGATATAAGAGCACCACAATCCGCCTTGGTTCTAAGCTCTCCTCTAAGTGTGGAGACTACTATCTCCTTAAAACATTCTAAAAGTCAAACAAATATATTTGGTAAAAGGGTAAATAAAATTGTGTATATCATTGGCAGGATATCCGAAAGAAAGATCTCAGAACCCAGGTACTTGACGTGACAACACCTTTTTTTTGAAGTACATTGAGAGAGGATGTATCGAAAAATGTCTTGTTTAACACGCAAGTTATAAACGTCTTAAGATTTTATAATTTTATGACACTTTTCACGCGGCACCGCCACCACCTGATTTCATGGAACTATGCACAATGTGTGTTACACTGAGCGCACATTGATTCCACATGCCCAATCATCCATCCACTTACCTGTAGCAACTAACCGGTCGCATTGCGTTGAACTTATTTTAGAATGAAAAGGGATTAAGGATTAGGCGAGGATATGAGGACAACAACTGTCGTTGTGTGAAACTAATAAAAACTTGTCACAGCACCAACACTTTAAGTACCTGTTCCTCAACCACTCAATCTCTCGGACAGGTGCTCGCGTAGACAGTGACTAAAGCGTGATTTGTATATAAATGCCAGGATATCAATGAATCTCATCACAGTTCAACAGCTAACCTCAAACGTTAAACACACACAACACTCAGTTTTAAACAAAAATCATTTAAACATGGGTTTTGAACAAAGCTTCAGTGAATTACACATTAGCAGCCAATCGCCGGCTTCGTACATAAAATCACATCCTTATCAGGTGGCGAATTTGGTGACAACTGAAATGCGCTTGAAGCGCATAGCTAAACGTCAAATGGACAGTGCAACAATGTTTAGTCGTCTGCAGGTGATTATCGATCAAATGGAGGAGACCTTTAAGGCGCCAAGTTGTAATCAAGTTTCACCGAAAAATCTCATCTCCAATGGAGGCAGCAACGGTCTGGGTGGTGAGCAGCACAATTATCCATATACAAATTCCTCGTCGGGTGTATCATCATCCTCGTCAACGGGTTCACCATTGTCGGAGGATGAACAATGCGCCTCCTCCAGTGGTAACAAGAGAAAACTCCAGCATGAAGATTGTCAATATCAAGAACCCAGTACGACAAATGAACCCAGCCCATATCCCCAACAAATGGGTGATGTGGTTATTTTGGGTCCCAATGGCACACAAATCGATGCCAGATCATATAGCAGCATTATTTGGTCATCATCCGCCTCGGCTACAAGACAACTTTTGGGTTTTGTTTTTAGCAGTGATGTCTTGGCTACACACACTCTCACGGGTAAACCATCGCCAGCATTCTATGGCCGAGAGAGGCCAGCAAAAATGCAATTAGATCCAGTTAAGGCAGCCGACATTATCCATTGTGTCAAAAGCAAATTCCACTGTACCGAACGGGAAATTCGTGCTGCCATTACGACCAAATGTTCCGATACGTCAAAGAAATACAAACGGCGTTGCATGAAAAAGGTTGATGTTTTGAAAATGTAGAATATCTGGGTTTGGGGTGGAGTTTTCTTTTTTCTTGGCTTAAGTAACTTGTAAATATTTTGTATGTTACATTAGTTTTAAGTTGTTTATAAATATTTTAATCGATGTGATTGTTTTATAAAAAGAAATGGAAATTTAAAATAAATTCAATTTTAGTTTTAAAAAAATTCAAAATTTTTGTTTGTTTTCTTTTATGTTTCACAGTAACATTTATTGTTTCTTTTTCTTTCTGTTTTGTTTCTTGTTAAAATTAACACTAACGATTTATTTGCAAGATTTGTTTACTAGGGAAGTTGGCTTTCTGCTTTTCACTTCGAACCGGAGCCTTTCTTGGGATCCCAAGCTTCAATTTTGGTACGGGTGGTGCTATAGGGCATATATTGTTCTGAAATGAGGAAATAATGATAAATTTATTATTGACTAAAATTGTAATTAATAACTAAAAGTTGTTAAAAGACTCGAGTAAAATACTTGCAATCAATTTCGAACAAATTTCGATTCGTTTTATATTTACGAAAATCAAAATACAATTCAATATTCTAGCAAGTTTCTGCTGTTACAACAACAACCTAGTCTCTACCACAATTTTCAATTAAATAAATACGGATACAAATTGATTTTGGTAAATTTTTAATTTATTTATTTATTTAATTTTTTTTTTTTTGACATAGAATTCAATATTTGGGCCTTTTTATACCCTCCACCATAGTATGAAGGATATATTAAGTTTGTCATTCCGTTTGTAACACCTCCAAATATACATTTTAGACCCCACAAAGTATTTATATTCTTGATCAGCATAAAATTCTATGTCGATTTAGCAATGTCCGTCCATCTGTCCGTCTGTGGAAATCACTCTAGCTTCCGTACGAAATGAAGTAATTTGATAAAAATGTGTATTATGTCTGCAGGACTTTTGGTATTGAAAATGGGCCATGTAGGTCCACGTCTTCGTATAGCCCCCATATAACGGCACCTCACGATATTCGGTATTTTGGTGATTTAAGCGACATATTTCACCGGAACTGTTTCAAAATTGGTATTTGAAGTTCGTAATGGATACTACAGCCTATGCCAGAAAATTGTCTGGCCAGGTTCACGTCTTTGTATAGCCCCCATATAACGGCAATTCACCATATTCGGTATTTTGGTGATTTAAGCGACATATTTCACCGGAACTGTTTCAAAATTGGTACAGCCTAAGACAGAAAATGGGCCATGTAGGTCCACGTCTTCGTATATCCCCCATATAACGGTACCCCCGATATTCGGTATTTTTATGATTTTAGCGACATTATTTACCGGAATTGCTTCCAATTTCGCATTTGAAGTTCGTAATGAATACTACAGCCTATGACTGAAAATAGTCTGTGCAGGTCCACGTCTTTGTATAGCCCTCATATAACGGTACCCCCCGATATTCGGTATTTTAAAGATTTTAGCGACATTATTTACCGGAATTGTTTCAAATTTCGAATCTGAAGTTCGTAATGGATACTACAGCATTGTCATTGTCTGTGCCGGTCCACGTTTTATAAACACCAGGGTACCTCCCTATATTCGGTATTTTGATGATTTTAGCTAAATTATAAACAGATATTTTCAAGTTTGGCATTTGAATATTGTAATAGCTTATGACAAAAGATGCCTATGCAGGTCCACGTCGTCGTATAGACCCTAAAACACGGCTACAACCGGAATTTTTAAAATTTTAACATAATTTTTAACGGATTTTATTTTTTGAAAATTGTCAAATTTGTACCAAATTGTTGGGGGGTATTCAAAAATCGGCCCGGCCGAACTTACAGCTTTTTTACTTGTTTCAGTTCCTTTGGACTGCTACGAGATGGAGGGAAAACACTTTTTTGTCTACGCTTCTATGCAGTAGACCTAGATAATTAGTTGACCTTAGATGGACCTTTACCAAATCGTCTGCGACGCAGTAAAAATTCTATTCACAGAAAAAAATTCTATCCTTGTAAAGTAACTTATCGGAAACTTATTCAAGAAAAGGTGTTACTGTTCACCCACCTTCTTCGAACAGAGATAGGCTGATCCAGCCAACCTAAGGTAATTCTTCCCAGACAGTTAATGGGCGGTCTTGTGTACATGCCTGTGCGTCGTTAGACAAAACCGACTAGCTGTCCTTGATACTATTGAAAGGGGAGTTCAGATTGAAAATGTTCCTTTCCTACAATCTCCAAAATTGTAAAATTCAACGAAGCAAAAATAACAAGAGGCTACAAATCGTCGGCGCAGTTTTGATTGAACAAAATTATGCTATGGAAAGAGAAGTTCTGACAGAAAGTGTGCCATTATCTATAACCTTAAAATTGTCGCGTTCAACAAAGCAAAAAAGAAAAAGTTGCTACAAGTCTTCGGCAAAGTTTTAATGGAAGTATATTCATCGGACAGGAGTACTACAGTCTCGTGTGGAAATATTCCGAGACCTTATGGCCACAGAACTTTGAGATGACGGTCAGATCTATGACTAAATATATACTGACTATGAGCTGTCCGCTATAACACTCCTACGTAGAAAAGTTGTGTCAGTTTGCAGTATGCATTCCAGTTCCACTTCTTTGATAGGTTGCAAGGCTAATATTCACAACAACCAGTGGGGCATCAGGGATATAGACCCCAAGTAGATCCATTCGATTTTATTTCAAATTATTTTCTCATATCACTATCCTACATAACAAGAAGCATGTATCGATAATTCAGTCTGTAGAATACACAAGCTGATGGATTAGTTTGGGGTGGTTTCCAGTCGATTAATTTACCGATTAATGAGCATTTTTCAAGAAGGCTCCTACGGAAGACGCTTGCAGAAACTTGGAAACTGGATTCAAGATATCTAAGGCCATCTGACCAGCAATCGCGGGATTTAATATTTATGTGTCAGTGCAGTATCAGATGTCTAACCTTAAAAAAGGAATACAATGTCCCTGACTTCTGTTAACTAAGTAAGGATGAAGAAAATGTAGAGACAATTTATCCAATATTATGCAGATGTCCATGTTTTCAAATCAGCATCACACAGGTATAAGGTAGGTGAGAGACCGCAGCTAGAAAATTTTAGTCCGAAGTAGATCTTATTTGAAGGTTTGCCAAAAGCATTCCCTAGCTATTAGACCACGCCTCTATAAGCACTTATTTTTCACTTCTATGTACCAATGGACCAAAATTATGCGAGTGGATCAGCTGCTAACTCCGGTATAGTTGCGCACCCTTAAACCATAAAGCTCTTATCGTTTACTCTAAGGCGAAGACAATACTTAAGTTTTGCCGGGCATCCTTTTTTGTAACTCCACTAGAGTGAAAACTTGTCTTATAATCTGGTCGGTTAACCTTAAAATTGCTAATATTTAGAAGTTTTACTATATTGAGGCGGTACCGGTGGCTATGCCACAAAGCTTGAGTTGAATATTTTTTTGCGAGAAGGCCAGAGCCAGAGAGCCCCCAATGTCAAATTATGGTCGTAGAAACTAAGGCAGAAATGCTGTTAAATAGGTGCCACATTAAAAAGTGGACCTAGACTTAATATTTTTGCGAGGAGTTAACTGACAACCAAATATTCCAAATTATAGCTGATTTTGTTGAAAACTGGGACCTAACCTTCAAAATACCAAAAATCAAGAGATACCCTTGAAGGTACATTGGATATATTTAGCGAGGAGCAAATCTAAACGCGGAGAACAATGAATTTAAAATAAAAACTGATTTGGTTGCAAATTAGGGAACAAAATAAGGAGGTACGGTAACCTATATTATCGTATGCCTGACTACGGACCGAGCATCCAATAAATAACATTAATGACTAAACAATGTCAAAGCTTTATATATATAATAGTGCGATCTACATTGTTATTTTAATGGGCAGAAGGAAAAGGTGATATTAAGGCGTTGATCACTAATATGTATAAACGTCATGGTATCTCTGACAATATTTCCGACGTTCTGGTCACTTATGAGAAGACCGTTAAGGGTAGACCTTTAGTTCGTCTTTAAAAAGTCCTTCCGGTCTCACGTAAAAAGACCTACTGGTCCCTTGACCCATTTCAACATTTTTGATAAATAGACCTCACAATACATATCTTATGGCATTATCTCAGAACCAACAAGATCATGCTCAATGTCCCTTGTCACCTTTGCATTGAAAATGTTATAAAATTGCTTAACCTGTAAAGTTGTAAAGGTTTTAGAATTTTATTTTTATAACTTTATGACACATTGCCGATGGCGAACCTCATTTCATGGAATCGGCCGCAATGTGTTACTTTGCTTGCTCAATTGTTAGTCAGTACCTGTTCGTTTGGTTGTTCTTTCGTTCGTCCTATTGATTCGTTGAACTTATTCGACAATGAAAAGGGATTAGGGATTAAAAATAAGGATATGCGAACAACTGCTGTTGTGCAAAACTAATCAAACCTATGGCCGAAATGTTGATACCTGTTTCGTTGAGACCGTGCTTGACAGGTGCTTCTTACTTTCGTTTGTTTAAGGGACAAAAGTAAACGCAGTGATATCAATGAATCTCAATGAAATTGTTTTTAGAAATAACTTCAATTTTTGGCAGACTAGCAGCAAATCATATCGTTGTTTACTTTTCTTTTTATACCCTCCACCATGGGTAGGAGGGTATATTAACTTTGTCATTCCGTTTGTAACACCTCTAAATATTCGTCGTAGACCCCATAAAGTATATATATTCATAATCAGCATAAAATTCTAAGACGATTTAGCGATGTCCGTCTGTCTGTCTGTCTGTCCGTCTGTCTGTCCGTCTGTCTGTCTGTCTGTCTGTTGAAATCACGATAGAGCACACATTATTTGACGTAGACCTTTGAAATTTGGCACAAGTGCGTGTATTGTCCCTAGGATGGTTGGTATTGAAAATGAGATATATCGGTCCACGTTCTGGTATAGTCCCCATATAACGGTACCTCCCGATATTCGGTATTTTGATGATTTATGCCACATTTTTTCACGGATTTACCTGAAAATTGGTATTTGTAGGTCATGACGGGTCCCCGAGCGTGTGGCAAAACATTGCATGTATAGGTCCACGTTTTGGTATAGCCCCCATGTAACGGTACCTACCGATATTCGGTATTTTGATGATTTATGTCACATTTTTTCACGGATTTGTCTGAAAATTGGTATTTGTAGGTCACGACGGGTCCCTGAGCGTGTGGCAAAACATTGCATGTATAGGTCCACGTTTTGGTATAGCCCCCATATAATGGTACCTACCGATATTCGGTATTTTGATGATTTATGCCACATTTTTTCACGGATTTGTCTGAAAATTGGTATTTGTAGGTCACAACGGGTCCCTGAGCGTGTAGCAAAACATTGCATGTATAGGTCCACGTTCTGGTATAGTCCCCATATAACGGTACCTCCCGATATTCGGTATTTTGATGATTTATGCCATATTTTTTCACTGATTTGTGTAAAAGTTGGTATTTGTGGGTCATAATGGGTCCTAGGTCGTGTGGCGAAACATTGTAATTATAGGTGCACGTGTTGGTGTAGCCCCCTTTTTAACGGTACCTCCCGATATTCGCATTTTAATGTTTTTTGCCACATTTTTTCTAATGTTCTTTTACCCTAGGGTGGAGGGTATTAAAAGTTTGGCCCGGCCGAACTTAATGTTTTTTTACTTGTTTACAATGATGTTTGTGAAACTTGTTTCCAAAGGCAAATTCAAGACCACAAACATATTTCTATAAACCATTAAGTTGTACCTTTAAGAAAACCAACATATATTCGGTTTTCTACAGACCTTGGGAGACCATAATCAGTTTTTTAGAAGGCCAGTAAATATTGTCATAGTGTGTGAAAATCTATCCTCAATTTATTGGTCAGAAGACCAGAAAAACTTTCACAAACGAGCCGCAAAGACCAAAGCGCTTCTCTTATAGAATTCCTCCTGTTATTCTTTCACTCGATCATAAATATCGCTTCATAATAGGCGAGAAGGGTATTTTATAGAAGACCATAAATATTTTCTTTTAGAAGACCGTAAAGAGGTTGTTTTAGATGTTCAGATAAGACCACAAAAAAAGCTTTTGATAGAATAGTTGGAACATCTTATTTGAAAGTTCCGCAATGATATTGAAGATATTGATTTGCAATTCTTCTTCAATTGTACATCAAATTACTTACCTGGGGTGCCCGACAAGTTTTCACTGTGATCAGCCATCCACTTATGTTTGGGACGGTTACCATCACGAATGGGTGGCAAATCGCTCTAAAACAAAATAAAATAGTTTATAACCAACAATTCCTAACCATTTTCAAAACGATCTTCAATTACCTTGTAATGCATCCAACCGAACCATTCAGCGGGTATTTGGGAACCATCATAGTCCATGTTCACATGGTCAGCGAATTCTACCCAACGATTGCGGCCATAGAAATAGTAGGGATTTTCGTAATACTTGTTGCCGTATTTGTCGGTGCCAACCAATGTACCGATTTTCAAATCATCATTTCTAAAACGCGGTGGAAATAATGTACATAAACAAATTATGTATTAAATATAAAGACAATTTTTTAACAAAAACTTATATAATTCCACAGAGGCCAGCCGCTGCTGCTTACCTATACAATTTGAGATAGGTGTTCTTGATGCCACCATTTTGGCGAACAATTTGGAAAAGTTTACCCAAGCGGTCTAAGCCAAGATATTTAGACATTCTGCAAACAAATTGAATGACGATAAAGCTTTGTTTTAATAGAATTGCCCAGGAATTTGTCGGAAAATTACCTGTCGTTTCGCTATGCAAAAACTTCACTGACACTGGAACAGCTGTTTCTGGGGGGAAATTGACAGCTTTATGTTATCAATTCACTCACAGAGGCTGGGAGGAAAAAGAAGCAGAGATTACGGTAAATCACAAATGAACAAAGCCAAATATATGATATTAGTTTTATATTTATTTTAAACAAGAAGAGGAGTAGTGACATTGGGTGGTATGTTCAGTGAATTGAGATACCGACAACTCAATCGTGAATCATTTACATTGTTTTTATCTTTGCCCCACAAAAAAGGAGAAATACAATAATTCCACCAACGTTTTTTTCTGTTATAAGAAAAGCCACTAAAGACTGCATTCATAAAATGGCCAAAAATACCTCCAGCTCTGCATTCCGCAAAATCGATGTAGATCAATACAATGAAGACAATTTCAAGGAAGATGAAGCCGATTCAGTGGCAAATACATGCGACGAGAACCTAATCACCAACCTATTGACAGAAGGCAAATGTATAGAGGCTTTGGTGTCTGTCCTACAGAATGCTCCTTTGAGATGTAAACAACAACATGTCAAGGTAAGACCATTGGATTCTAACAACATTTCGTAACTAATAATGGAATATTTATCTTTTTCTGATTCCAAACAGGACCACGCCCTCAATGTTACCCTAAAGGTACTGCTCTCCGTCAAAGCGTCACAAATGGATCAGGCCGTTGAAATCTTGGAACAAAACGATCTACTCGATGTCCTCATGAAATACATTTATCGTGGATTTGAAATGCCCTCAGAAGGTTCAAGCGGCCATTTGCTGCAGTGGCATGAGAAGGTGTTTGCCAAAGGAGGTTTAGGTTGCATTTGCCGTGTATTAGCCGATACTAATCGTGCCTAAGTGGCCGCCACTTTTGTTCTTCAAGGAATTGTTAATAGTAATTGTAATTTATAAAACATACATTTCTTCCTTTTTTTAAATGATTGTCATTATCAACATTGATTGATCTTTTTAATGTGTGCAACAAGCCGTACATTAACCAAACAACCAGAGTCAGTTTTATTAATGGACAAAAAAAGAACAAAACAAGTTAAAAATGTTTAGTAAGTACCTAGTATTTTCTGCTGCAAAGGAGTATTGCCTATTTTTCGTTTATTAAGATTATAAATATCTACATTTTTATACAAGTATTAGATTGAAAATTAATATTGTTTTATTGTAATTCTAATTTCAAAAAAGAAATCGTTCACTTGTGTGGAGAAGTCTGTAAATCCAGAATAAAAACAAACCAAAATACATTAACCGGTAAAACGATAAAGCTGTTCTGTAATCAAGCCTTGTTTATTGCACGAAGTAATCCAGATGACTGAAAAATCTAATTAGAAGGATTATGAAGAAGGAGTTATTGCATAAGGAACGATTATTAATCATCTATTAATGCCAGAAATTGTCCAAAAGTACTTTTGGAGCTACAATTTGTTTTTGGGGAAACATTTTTTCAAGGACTGTCAGATCCAAATCGTAGATCTTCGGGATATTTTTTGGAGAATTGTTTTGGAACAGAATCCGTTTTAGTTTTAATTTCAATTTTCTGTTTGGGGAAAATATCATACCTTGAGTTACAATGATCATGCATGCACTCAGTTGCTCAACACAATTGCATCAAAATTCGGGTAGTCGTGAATAGCCTTATAAATTATTGACGTTCCCGTACTCAGCTGATGTTCTGAAAAACTCAATAGATTGAAAAAAGTTATTCATGATGGAATTTAAGCGTGGTAGTGTGATTTCTGGCTACCGTTAGAGCACTCCAGCATTTAAATGTGAATAAATCTTTTTCACCTCGTACCATCGCTTGTTACCGTGATACTGGTAGCGTAGCCCGACGTCAAGGAAGTGGACGGAAGAAAACAGCAACATCAGCAGAAATGGTTCGAAAAGTAAAGAAGCGACTTGATCGAAACCCGCATTTCGGCTTGTGAGCTGAACATATCGCAATATTCCATTCGGCAAATATTAAAAAATGAGCTCGGGGTAAAGCCATTGAAATTCCAAAAAGTGCAAGAACTTACACCGCAACAGAAAGAAAATAGACTCAAAAGAGCTAAAGAGTTGCTTCCCTTCGCCGAAAGTGGTGAACAACCGAATTTGGTTTTTTCCGATTAGAAAACATGCGTTGTCCAGCAGTTTGTAAACAAACAAAATGATCGTGTTTACTTGCCAAAGAGGTGCACCTTCGGTTGGCCACTACACTTACAGCCGATGGTCGCTCTCCGCTTGTACTAATCGACCGTGGTAACGGAATAAATGCCGAATATTATCGCGAAAATATTCTGGAGGTTGTATTCAAGCCTTGGGCACGCAAACATTTTGGTCGATAGGACTCAGCATCATCGCACTCACCACGCGCCACCCAAGACTGGTTACAAAATGAGGTACATAATTGCACAGCCAAACCTACCCAACTCACTCCAGAAGATCTCTGACTACAGCCCGTTAAAGTAGCCGAATTTCTAAACCTGGAGCTGGAACCAGATTAGCAGAACGCAAACACACACATGTACTACTGCTACAACAACAACAAAATGAGGTTCCTCGCTTCATTTCAAGCCCCAACGGCCACCAAAATCTCCGGATACCAATCTGTTGGACTATTCTGTCTGGAGTATTTTGGAAAGCAAGGTTGGCACTAAAAAATACCAAAATGTCGAATACCTCAAGCAAGCAGAGCAACATTCGGACAGCATGTGACGGTTTCATTGGCCATTTGAAGGTCATAATTCGTGCCAAGGGTGACAAATTCGAACAAATCTAAACTTATTCTAAAATTTGATGCTATTTCCGATATTTTTCTATAAAATTATAAAAGTAAAAATTATGACGTTTCAGTTTTTTTTAATCTCACCGTGTATTATTTCGATGAGTTACAAACGGAATGACAAACTTAATATACCCTTCATATTATGTATGGTGGAGGGTACAAAAATTTGTTTAGGTTAAGGGTGCACAGTCGTTGGACAGTAGATTCCCAATCGTCTCTACCAAGTGATAGACCTTAGCTTGATTTTCTTCCCGAGATTAACTGCTAGATGGCTGTAGATACCCTACAACCGGTCCCTAAGTACTAATTTATTCCAGCTTCTTTGATAAGAGATTTTTTGAAACAGCTGTTATAATAGCTTACTGGTGATTTAACCGCCTCATCAATCAATGATACTAGTAGAATAATTTTCGTATATATTTTTTATTTCTGCAAAACTCTCCAAATGTGTTAATTAAATACTAGAGCTTATAAGCCAGAATATAACGCCATCTCAAAAGGGGTATCCTTCGTTCATTAAAGGAAAAATCAAGGGTTCTTTTAAGACATACAATTGATATGAAATTAACAACAGGTGATAGTTTTTCTTTAAATGAATAAAAGAAACACATAAACAAATAGAAGAGGAAGAAGGAACTAAAACAATGTGAATGGGTGTTAATATAGCGTAGACAGTGTTTAACAATTTCTTTTATTTATGTTTAATTTTTGTTTTCTAACGTAGACACAAGTTTCGAAGCGTTAAATTATGCCAAATATTTCTTTCTCAAATATGCTAACTTTTAACGCCAACAATTAAATGTGATAGTGATGGGAGGGGGAGGAATTTCGTTTTGTTTTTTTTTACTTTCAAGAGCTAGAGAGAGATGATGAATAATAATGCTGTTGTATGTTGTTGCGATTGCGGTTTGAGTGCTGTTTCGGCTGCATTCTTCCTTTTGCATGCTTAGCAATTATGGTCTGTCATTGTCTACCACATGTGGGTTTCACGTATTTCACTAATAATGTGATTAGCATTTGTTAAAGCCTACAACAAAAAAGAGGTAAGAAAGGAATAGACATTAGTGGAGGTCCTTAAAGTGGCTAGAGTAGATGGGGAAACATACCTTCAACATATCGGCAGCTTCTCTCCGGCGTATCGCAATGTGATCCGATTCATTGAGTAATGTATCGACGGCATCCGATTTGTATAAATGTGTTACCAATTCACTTTGTAAATTATCCTTAACATAATTAACTAGAAAATGCATAACGGCCTTTGGTACTGAATCTTGTATAGATTTGCGTACAATATAGAAATAGGATTTGATTAAACGTTCTGCAAAAGGAAAGGAAATAGTTATCAAATAAAATAGGTTTGTGCTTTTCTAAATCCTACCAATAACATCACAATCCTTTTGTTCCTTATCGGTTAGACGCCTCGAGCCCTGATTGGCTGGCACATCGGGTAGCAGATTAACAGGTTTCACAGGACTCATAAGCGAATTGTGTAGAGGAGTATTGTGATTGGAGTTTTCCATGCTTTGGGTATTGGGAGCTGGAGGCAAAATATTCGATAACCAGTTGTTGGGATGTTGGGCATTTTCACCAATGTGATTCTGAAAAAAATTAAAAAAGTTAGATTAAACAAAATTGTAAAATTGATCATCATCACACACCTGTTCTCCCACATCATTGTGTTCCTGATGTTGCTGCTGCTGTTGTTGTTGTTTTTGTTGTTCTTTTTGCAAATTCTGTACAGCCATTACCTGGGGCGATGAATTTGTTGTCCTTGGTGTATTCGATCGTCTGGCCAACTGTTGTTGATGCTGCCCATATGGATCCATTATATTATCTGTTTTCAAAAGACTAGGCACCAGGGCAGCATCCTTGTGAAAGTCCGGATGTTTTGTATTAATGTAGGCCAATTCAATGGCAACCAGATTCTCCACCATAACATTTGTGGTAGGCAAACGACGCCGCAACAGTTGTGTAACAACATCAACGATTTTTTCATGGAGTTTTGGGAACCTAAAGAAGAATGAGAAGAGCAGAAATTCAATTTTATAGAAGGATTCAAAAGTATTCTATTTTTAAAAGGTAGCTAAACTAACTTCTATCTTTTAAAGTTCGTATTGCAGTAGAAATTTCCAAAATCTTCTAAAAGATGTGTCCACAAATGACACAACAGCCTATCTCTTAGGATACCATCAGGAAAGTGTTACATCCTTGTTAGGTATTAATCTCTTAGGTTTGATGTGATGACATTTTATAAATGAAATGGAATTTCAGAAATTCTATAGAAGATGTCTACGCAAATGACAAAAAAAAAAAACAACAGAGGTATACACCCAGCCTTAAGTTATGATTATTCAAATTGTTGAAACTTTATTAGGCAGGTTCCGAAGCAGCTGGCCAATGCTAACCAATTCGTATCTAACCTAAGACAGTTCCTTTAAAACTTGAACCCTATGTGGGAGAGGTACCAGAAGAAATGCTCCGATCTCTACCATCTTTATAACAGATCTTGTGTTGATACAAATATTGATATGTGCCAAGTCTGAATGGAATCGGATGTTAACTTCCCGTTTTATGAGCTTCATGAATATTCAAAATTTTGACCCTTTGTGGGGGAGGTACCAGATGGAGTGGACCGATATATCCCATCTTTATACCAGACCTTGGATAAATAAAAATATTGGGATGTATGTAATTTGAAAAGAACCGGATGCTTATTTAATATTTTATGATCATTTTTGTTATTTAAAATTTTGACCTTTTGTGGGGGAGGTACCAGAAGGAATGGTCCGATCTCTAACATCTTTATAACAAGTCCTGTGTTCATGGAAATATTGAGATGTACTAAGTCTGAATGGAATCGAATGTTATTTTCGTGTTTTATAAGCTTCATGAAAATTCAAAAATTTTGACTCTGTGGGGGAGGTACCAGAAGGAGTGGGCCGATAACAAATATTGGGATATGTGTCATTCGAAGAGAACCGGATGCTTACTTCGAATTTTATGATCGTTTTGTTTTTTTTTTAAACTTTGACTCTTTATGGGAGAGGGACCAGAAGAAATGGTCCGATATTTACCATCTTTATAACAGGTCTTGTATTGGTGAAAATATTGATATGTGACAAGTCTTAATGGAATCGGATGTTAATATCGTCTTTTATGAGGTTCATGAATATTCAATATTCTGACAGTTTGTGGGGGAGCTACCAGAAGGTGTGGGCCGATATATTCCATCTTCACACCAGACCTTGGGTTAAAAGGAATATTGTGATGTGTGTAACATCATATTTTATAAGATTTTTAATATTCAAAATGTTGACCCTTTATGGGGGAGGTACTTGATGGAGTGGAACGATATTGACCATTTTCGCACCTGACCTAGCGCTGATGCAAATATTAGGACTTGAAAAGTTGGAGCGAAATCGGGTCATCCTTTCCCTTTTATGCAGTAAATTATGAAAGCCATCTTCGGAATTTTTTCGGAGCTGATTTGGTTGAAAAATCTACTTCGAATTTTTAGAGGTGTTCCAAAGATTCGAAGGTATAACATATAATAAAAAAATGTACCTCAACATTTCCTGCTGTACTTCGTTGCCACAATGTTGAACGATACGTTGCATCTCTTCGTGTATCAATTCCACACAACGCAGCGACGGCTCCTCTAATCGACGAATTTGTCGCTTGACTAGCAATTCAAATGACACTTCGGGTACGAAAAGCGCCGGCCTAGGACCAGTTGCATTTCGTATTGCCGTTAAGATATCCATTTTAGTTAGACCAGCTAAGGGATGAATGGAATCAAGTGTGCGTCCAAAAGTCTCATGGAAAATATAACAGATACGTGCACCGCCACACAACTCTGTCGTTTCAATGTTACGCGCTGTACCATCAATGGTCGAACAATAGGCGCTGGCAAATTTCGTAATAATTTGCAATAGAGTTTGACTTTTATCCTTAACATCTTCACCGTAGGAATTTAGCAGAGATTGGAATTGCGAAGACATGACATTGACGCGAGTCTTTAGATCGGGTAAGCAGTCTCGTATGTGATGCATAAGCAAACGATTGAGGGTCTTGGCCAAATAGGGGGTGCCATTGCGGGTGGCCAGTGTTGGATATTTACGTTGTAAAAATGCCGCCTCATCTTTCAATTGTTCATCGATGTCTTTGTTGTCTTTTATGTCCTGTTGCGACCGATTGATAACACCAATAATACCCAATTTGACGGGTATGACACGGCCACACAGTATGTCTATGGCATCGGTGCCAGCATCCATAAGATCTAGTTTGGTAACAACGGCCAGTGTTCGCCGTCCATCGGGATCCACATCTTTGGCCAATTTTAATGCCTCACTTGTTGCCATATCTGTGTTGGCTGCCGTAACCGCCAAAATAATGGAATTGGGATTTTCAATGTATTTGATAAGCAGATCTTTGATTTGTTGTTCAATATCTTCTGGCTGATCACCGACAGGGACTTTTGTAATACCGGGCAAGTCAACCAAGGTTAGATTTACTACCCGTGTTGAGAATATTTTCAAATTAATCGGTTCCGAGCAAATTCCTTTATTACTGCCGGCCACACGTTCTGTTTCTTCTTCGATTTCCGTACGTATCTGATCGAAATCGGTGAATATCTTTTTGGTGTGTAAAAATTTGCCCCATTCTTCAACGTTGAGTGTGCCTAGGAGGGGAGCAAGAAGAAGTCAAGGTTAATAGAGTTGGGGGTTTTTTATATATCTTAGAAAACTTACCATTTTCAGCCGATCGATGATTACGATCCGATAATGGGCAATGAATCAATTGCAAGACCAAGGGTCTTCTTGTTACAATACCGGTGCCTCGTGGTAGAAACGAACGTCCAACCAGACTTTCTAGTACTGAACTTTTACCCGAACTCTGAAAGGGGAATACAATTGAAATGTATCAATATATATTTGTTATATAATTTATATATAGAATGGTAAAAAGGATAGGCCGTATATTTCCCCAGGAGCAGTAACATTAAAATAAAGAAAAAATTAAATTGTATCTGTCGCAGTTTTGCGACAAGTGCGAAATCATAAATTCCATTTTCATTCCACGTTTCTGGTTGAGAGAAATATTAGATATAGCAATTTGTAAACAATTCGAAAGTTATGACACATAAAAAATATTGAAAATTGTGACCCTTTGTGGGTGAGGTACTGGAAGGTGTTCGCAGACATATATTATCTTCACAACAGATCTTGTGTTAGTGAAAAAGTTTGTCTTTGTGGAATTTGAAGAGAGTTGGATGCTTGTTTCGATTTTTTTTAAGTGATTGGTTTTTCGAAATCTTGAACCCAATGTGCGGGAGGTACAAGAAGGAATGGTCGAATCTCTAACATCTTTATAACAAATCTTGTGCTGATGGAAATATTGGGATGTTCCGACCGATTTATAACGACCGATGTTAATTTCGTGTTTTATGAGCTTCATGAATATTCAAAATTTTGACCCCTTGTGGGAAGGTACCAGAAGGAGTGGACCGATATATTCTATCTGCACACCAGACCTTGGATTAATAAAAATATTGTGATGAGAGTAATTTGAGCAGAACTGGAAGATTATTTCGGATTTTATAATCGTTTCGGTTATTCAAAACTTTGATCCATTGTGTGGGAGGTACCAGAAGGAATGCTCCGATCTCTACCATCCTTATAACAGATGTTGTGTTGATAGAAATATTGAGATGTACCAAGTCTGAATGGAAACGGATGTTAATTTCGTGTTTTATGATCTTCATGAATATTCAAAATGTTAAACCTTTTTTGGGGGGTACCAGAAGGATTGGACATTTATATTCCATCTTTACACCAGACCTTGGGTTAATAATTTTATAAGAGTTATAATTATTGAAACATTTGGCCCTTTGTGTAGGGGGTACATGTTGGAGTGGACCGATATTGTCCATTTTTGCACCTGATCTAGGACTTATGCAAATTTTAGGATTTGCAAAGTTGGAGCAAAAGCAGACTATCCTTTCTCTTTCTGTGAAGTAAATTATTTTCTTTGAAAATTTCAACCTTTTGTGGGGAGGTACCAAAAAGATTGGACCGATATTGCCCATCACCCAACTCCATCTAAGTTTAATAATAATATTACGATGTACCAAGTTTGGACCGAATCGGATACTCCCTTCAAGAGTTATCGCCCGACAGACTTACAGACGGACGGATATCGCTAGATCGACTCCAAATGTCCTGAAACGGATTTGGTCCAATGAGACCTAAGATATAAGGATTACAGCCTGGGTTTTGGATCAAAAGATTTCGAATTTCTTTCTCCACTAGTTTGGGATTTTAGATACTCTTTTCATTAGTTTACACTTCAAATTTACAACTCATTATGCTATTTATTTCTGGTAATTATTATGACAATATTGTGGTGCGGTTATTCAAGAATGTTCTCTTGTGTCATGATCGCAGAAGGCAATAACCACAAACCGTTGACACACACAACTGAAAACAATATTGAAATTGATAAATTGTGCCTTTTCAATACAATGATTTGCTAAAATGATATAGCTACATATTAAACAAAGTGTGAAGATAAGAATAAAAACAGATTGCATTAAGGAGGTAAATTTTAAAAGCAATGCTGTTCTATAAATCGTAATGGGGAACACATTTTCATTCAAGACCTATACACAATCAATCAATCAAATATTTCTGATATCACTGACTGCACATTTAGCCAAAATTTCGCAAAGTAAACCAAGAACATATTGTTGCTGACTGTCTGTGGATTAGTGTCTAGCACTTGAAACCGGCACGGCAATAGACGGGTGTTGTTATCGCCAAAAATAAATGGTTGGTGACGACATAACAGCTACATAAAATGAAATGCCAAACATTGACACAATTTCTAATGTGCTTTCAGGGAAAGATAAAAAACAACGGCAACAATAACAATTAACAGGTGGGTGTAACAGCAGCATATGCTGGGAAGAAAAGGTAAACAAATAAACGAAAATATCGTCAGATAATTAAATGTATGTATATAATAAACAAAATATATGTGGTTTGAAGAAGATTTGGTGTTCCAGGACTTTATTTGATGTACTATTCTTGTAAATAAGATCTGGAGTTCAGATATACTTAAGACATGCTATTGGTATTTTTGCGTACTTGAATATTGATTTGAGCACTTTTATAAAAAAAAACTTTTTTTGTGAAACTCGGATTTCTTGAAAGTAAAGATATGGTGAAAACAACTTTGAATGACATCCACCATTTGGAGCAAAAAATCCGTTAAAGATTCTGTTAAAATCTTAAATATGCCGAATGTAGCCGCAATATTAGGGTCTACATGACGACGTGGACCTGCATAGGCATCTTTTGTCATAAGCCATTACAATATTCAAATACGAAAATAAAATCATTAAAATACCGAATATCGGGATGTAGCATTATGTGGGGGCTATACCAAAATGTGGACCTGCTGTCGTAGGCTGTATTATCCATTACGAACTTCAAATACCAAATTTTAAACAATTCCGGTTAATAATATCTCTAAAATCACCGAAATATGGAATATTGGGAGGAACCGTTATATGTGGGCTATACGAAGACGTAGCCCTGCACAGACAATTTTCTGTCATATGCTGTAATATCCATTACGAATTTCAAATACCAAATTTGAAACAATTCCGGTGAATAATGTCGCTAAAATCTACAAAATACCGAACATCGGAAGGTACTGTTAAAAGGGGGCTAACGAAGACGTGTCTCTGTACAGAAAATTGTATGCTTTAGGCTGTAGTATTCATTACGAACTTCAAATACCAAATTTGAAACAATTTTATGTTTTATGCTGTAGTATTCATTACGAACTTCAAATACCAAATTTACTACTTCATTTCGTTCGGAAGCTAAAGTGATTTCCACAGACGGACGGACATTGTTAACTCGACCTAGAATTTTATGCTGATCAAGAATTTATATACATTTTGAAGTCTACAATGTATATTTCGAGGTGTTACAATCGGAATGGCAAACTTAATATACTCTGGAGAATGCCGTCCTCGAGTCCACTTCCCATTCATTGCAGCAAAATGTGTGTCAGCTAACAAGACAAACCAGGCAAGTTGTGGCGCAGTACTTTGGGTATTCTTCAACTCTAAGGCATGTGAACACAAAGAGGGCGGGAACAAAACCAGTTATTATTTATAACCACGAACGAGCGACTAGACATCCACATGCCTGACAAGGACGTCTGGACCTGTAACAACATACCTGTAAACATTATAGCTGACTATATGGATGGTTCAAAGATGGAAAGTAGAACAAGTGCATGGGTCTTCTGCAAAAGCCTGAACATCAGAAATTTCTTATTCCGAGTCAATCGATTTGGAGATCAAGGTCGCTTATGTCAATAGAACTGGAATCGGCTCTGGTGTCTACTCGGAAGTAACAAGCCTATCTTCCGCAAAACTATCAGAAGACAGCAGCGCTCATAGCTTGTCATATACTTCAACCGCACCACTCACGAAAGTCAATATGAAAATTTTGTCGACAGTCCTCCTCCTCTTAGCATTGAATTCTTATATTGTCACATCAAAGCTAATGAAAGAATGTGAAGAGCAGAACCTACTAAGCTAGATAGCGCGTCTGACCAGAGTAGTACTTCCTTGGACCCCAGGGCATCATGGTCTTGTTGTTAAGGAAAAAGCAGACGAACTAACTAGAGCAGGATCTGCCTCTAATGAACTTCCAAAGGCGTCAATCGCAACGCCAATGGAAATAGTTAAAGGGGTTATCTTCAAATACTATCTTTCACAAGCAAACAGACAAATCTAAAGACAAAATATGTGAATATCTTTAGCATACCTTGATAATAGTGCATCGGGACGGCTCGAATTTTTGTCCTCAATTGAAAGCCTTGGTAAAGCACAAGGGCCACTGGAATCTAGAGACTGGGATGGAGTCAAAAAACTGCATAGCAAGTTTCAATGATGTTTCGCATTTTAATCAGTCAATCATCTGTTTCTTTGAAAAGATCAAGATAATTTCGGACTCTTTGTTGGCAGCCTTGGTCTTCTCAAAATTATGAACCTCCACGTAATGAAACTTCTAAACTTTAGGGATTTTAACTATAGCCAATTTGGCCATAAGTCAACTGCAAGTACTTGTCCAATAGAGCAAATTAGCAGGGAGTAAATTTGTAAAAAGTGTTCAAATACCGCCGAATGAGGATGTTCCACCAAAAATTCCAACTAGAAATTAACCAAACCCAAGGCCTTTTAATGACATATTACTTTATGATCAATAAAAACCCATTTCCGTTGAAATCAAAAAGTCATGTCAGCGAATTTCAAAACAAAAGGTAATTTTAAAATAATCTTACCGCCAAGACTCAACGCATCTAACCGACTGTAATAGGTCATGAAACTCATGAATTTGTTTCCGTCGAGGAAATAAAAGCAAAGCAACTAACAATAAAACACAAACGCTTCTTATTAGAAAAGAAAATCAACAAACAAAAAAAAGAAAAAATACCGGCAGTGGCAGGTCAAAGTATTCTCAAGAATTAAAAGCAGCAGACGGCAAGTGGTACAATTAAAATAGAAATATATGTAAATATAAATCAGCGCGCATTGAAATACTATGTGGATTCCGCTTTGACCAACTTGCACCGCATATACCCAGCACCACACACACATACTATCTACACATACCTACGTCCTATAGCACAACAAACGAAGTGTGTACATTTGCTATGCCAGCAGCGAGCAATTTATTGATTTTCTCCGTATGTTGTTTTGGACAAAAGAATAACACAAACCAAAACCTAATATTGTCATCAATTATTACATAAAACTTTCCTTGGCGAAAAATAATTTCATGCATTGGGGGTATCTTCATATCAAAGATACTGAAGTTTCAGGGAAAGCATGTGCCGGTCTCTAGAGAAATGAAATTATATAATTTCTTTGGTGCATTTTTTATGTTCCCAGTGAATATTCATATTTTTGGGGCAAAAACTTGCTACTTGTGACATATCTAGTGGACACAAACGTACTAACACAGCCAGAACATTATGGCAGCTAGCCTTTTTGCACTGACGACATGCTTACCTGACTGCCCAATACGACAATTTGCGGCAGTTGAATTGAATCCGAGCCCACTGTATTGAATACATCTTGTAATTTATTGATCACCGGTATGAGAGCCTCCATTTTTCTGTGAAAAATATTTCAATTTAATTCTAGCTCACACACACGAAAATTTTCATTAATGAAAATAGTCACAGAAATTGGGAGTTATGAATTTTTTTGCACACTAAAAACCTTGTTTTCTTCTACCCTCCGCCCGTAATTCCACCCTTTTTCCACTTCACTTTTCAGGCGTTAGATAAATATGGGGGTCGACTTCGTTGGCGCTGTCACTTTTTCTTGTGAATAATAATGCCTTAGAATTGTATTTGAGATCGCTTTTTATCTTGTTAGAACACGGCACTATACTTTTTTAACTTTAATTGCTGATTTTTAATAATTTTCTGCACAAATTTTATGCAATTTTTTCGTATAATTTGCAATTAATCACCCGCAGCAGAAAAAAATATTTTCGCTGTTATACAAAGATCCGTGCCACACTAGAATTGCAGGGTAACGCCGACGATATATCATAGTCAAGGGGTTATCAATTCATTGTGATTTGCATCGTAAACGAGACGCATAACGGCGGCGATAATAAGTAGTATCGAACTTCGTTATTTTTACACTACGCAACAGAGTTTTTGTTAGGTGTTGTTTCGATGCAAATTTTTTCAAGGGAAAGTTTACAATTATTTTTAAAATATGTTACATTCAGCCTACTCGGCGTTATGGTGGGGTTCCGCACTAGCTCAGGAGGGAGCGGTTAATCCAGGGGGTTCTCAACCCTGCCACCATCAACCCTAGGGAATGAACACTTAAAGAATTGTACTGGAACAAACACAAACACAGAAAAACTGAAAACAAACATACACAACATACACCTATGACACAGGAGCTTGATATTATTGCTCCCCCACTATGCCCACCCATCCTTGACCCTTTAGTCCAAATACACTCAAAAAATTTAAAAAGGGCCCCAAAAAGCCACACACACTCACTTACAACGCCTAGTCTCCTCTCTCACAAATAAAATTTAGCACAACATATTATTTCTTTAGACAAATAGACATTAAGCTTATTTATTAGAATCATTATCGTTCTCTTAAAACTAATTTCAACACGAACACATAAAAAAAACTGGATTATTAATACCCGAACGAAAAAAAAATTGTGAGTCAATACTCGGATTACCTTTTTTTATTACCCTGCTAGAAGCGCCAATTTTGGCCAATACAAGTACTTTAAATTTCTGCCTAAAGGAGCTCACTTAGACAAATCTTTTGGGCATTTCAAATCCTTGTCCCAAACAGAAAAAATTGAAATTTTCTAGCTGTAAAATTTTGAGGCAACCCTACACTCACTAACAATAAGATTTAATGGGCATTAATTTTCCTCACATTTGTATCTTAAGCACTATTTATCTAACTACAAACAATACGTTTAACTTATATACTAAACTACACACTAACAAACAAATATTTTTTTTAGCTTCTTTTTTCTTTTTGTCAAATTCGGATTAATTGATGAATTTCATATTTTTTTTCTTTTTTCAGTGGTGTTTCCGTCAAAGGAAAAGGAACTTCATATGACTTTTTTCAGCGGGATTTGGCTTTTTTTCTTTTCTTTGGTAAGTAACTTAAATTTTGAATTACATTACCTTCACAACGGCATACTTAGGCAACTTTTTATCTTCTTTTTTCAGATTTTTAGGTGGGATCTACTGGTTAGCTTCCCGGATTGGTACTGTTGCCTGTTCCAAGGGTTATCCACTGGCAGTTTCCCAGGTCTTTTGGCCGTTTCCAGAACCTTTTCGTTGCCTGGAACCCCTGTGCCGCACCTGGCGATACAAAAATAATTGTTGAGGATGCCCGCTTCTTTTTCGTCCAAGTCGGATGGCGTTGTCCAATTGTGGATTTATGCGCGGCGTTATTCCTAAATAGAACACAAAAACTTAACACAACACATCCGACATAACACCACTTACAAATCAACACTTACAAATTGTTTAGATACGCCACACAAATAAAAAATAAAACACACAAATTGTAACTGCCAATTCAGTATTTCATTTTTATATTCACAAAAAAAAAAAAAAAAAAAAAAAAAAAACATTTAAAAATTGACTGAACTGTTTCTGTTCCACACCACTTTGAAATAATGGCGCTTTTAGTCCTCTCTGTGCTTTATATACGGCCACCAAGGACGCTCAACCAAACTTTCCCTCTTTTCCAAGATTTTCCCACAATTTCCCTGACATTTATTATTTACCTTTATCAGGTGTTCTACCTACCCCCAGTGTTGTATTTTTGCAACACGTCTCTCATGTTGTACAATAAACAATATGAAACTTGGCATCACTTTTTAAAATTTAGCCGGCCGCCCTGCGTATCCGGTTCTCTTTTTTGGCTGGCGTTCAGCACGTTCGGTGCATTAAATTGCACATTACAAAAATTTTACAATGAGGATGAACGCAACAAATATGATAATGTGTTTGGATTCGTTTGCAGTATTACATTAACAAATTACATAATTGAATTTGTAATTGCATATCCAAACGCATGTGTCAAATTAATGACTTATGGTAATGGTCTTCATTGAAAACAATGATTTTTCATTATTTCCACAGGCAACTGCCTGTCCAATAAGATTTACTTCATTCCAATTGGAATGCGTAAAGATAGCTGGAATGGAAAAAAGGGTGAATAGTGAAATGCAGGAATTTGGGCGAGCAAAAGTTGAAAATCTGTCAAACTGATATTTTCACGCCGAATACATAAAACCCTTTTGTGAATGACATAAGTCATTGCCTGGTTTCGGCGGAAAAAAACTAAGGCTCTACGGTCCGAAATCGAACTAAGTCAACCTAAAGCCAGCCGATGACTTAAGCCAGTCAAAAAAGCGTTTTATGTATGCTCACCTTTACTCGTTTTGAAAGAACTTGCTGAACATTTCCTCATTATCCCCTACTTTTCTGTTCCAGTATTTTTTAACTATTTTTTTTTCGTAAGAAAAATGACAAAAATCCTTGACAGCTGTTTTTCAATCAGCTGATGTAGTGCATAATTCTTATTAAGTAAATTGTTCCAATAAGATTTTGCACATTTAGATGTGCGCTAAGGTGGGTACATGGTAGAAGAATACAGGTAGTCGCATCGACACAGCTGCTGGGACAATGAACAGTCAAACCAAGTTTGGAATTCAAATTTGCAAAAATGCATTTCATAATAACATGCTCCGATTGGCATCGTTTAAGAAAACATATAAAAATCTACTTAGTTTTTGAAAAAAAAAATTAAAACTTTTGAATGTTTCTAAGCGTAGATGCATCTACCTACAAGTACCTACAAGTAAATAAAGGTTCTGTCAGACGATATGTTTTTTACGCATGTAGTGTCAAATTTTTCACATGTAGAGGTTATACACATCGTGTGATACATGGACCATTTCAGTGGTGAAATAGAAGAGTAAAGCCTATATGTACTTTTTCGATCACTGTGAGCCCTATTTTCATTGAAAATTTAAAATTTAATCAAAATTCTTTTTGTTTATTATGTGAATATATACAAAGTTAAATTTGCGGTAAAAATTCATCCATAAGGTATTATAATTATGTAGAAAATGCAATATATTCACAATGTTATCAAAGGAAATAAAAACAAAACATATGCAAAAATTATGAAACATATGTAAAATGACAATTTTGTCATACATACGAAAATACATATGGATAATAAAATTGACAGCACACATGTAAAACCCTTATCGTCTGATAGCAGCTTAAATAGGCACACAAGAAAAAATAGATAACTAGGTGATTATGGGAAAAAATAAATAAATGGGTTTAATTTTAAGAAAAAAAAAACAATCAAACATATAACATTGCGGAATCCAATTAAGCAGAGACACCTGTAAAACAATACGAATACATATTAAATTAAATTAGCAATTTGAACTTGTTTTTGTCAATTTGTACAAAACAAATTCATTGCAATTCTAATAGTATTTTTTTTATTAAGTAATTATTAACTGCATATGGGGCATCTTTAAGAGACATGGGTTATCAGTTTATTGACATCAATTTGGAACGCAAAATAAAAAAATTGCACAAACACAAGCAAAGAAGCGAAATTATTATCGTTTTACATTTTTTTTAGGTTTGTGTATAGCGGTCAGTCAGCAAACAACATTTAATACTGCAACCTATTTAGATTCATTATAATGACAAATTTTGATTTAATGAGATTAATTTAATTGCGAAATTAAGAGAATCAAGAAAATAAAAAATAAACTAAATATTAACATATATACACGTGAGAATATTTCGACTCTTCTAAAAAGTAATGTAAATTTTAAGGGCCAAGCGATCCATTAATTTAAGAGATGTCAAATAATGCAATATAAATATTCGGACAATGAGTGGGGCTAAAAACTCGAAATAAAATATATGTAAACAGCAAATTTGAAAGGCTTAAAAACGATTATTGCGGAATTAAGTCAAATACTCGATCCTACTATTATCATTATTATGACTTCAACCTTATTTACACTGAACATGCTTTCGTTTAACACCTTCTTTAAAATGTCAATTATTTTGTTTATATGTCAAATAACTGTCGGTCGGTGTGTAGGGGGGTTTTACCCTTTGTTATAGGTTGAACTTCATCGAACAGATTAATAGTTGACACAAATAGTCCTAATAATTATAATTGAAACTATTTAATCTGCATTTGCATGATCTGATCATAAAATAAAATAGAGCAAATAAAAAACTAAGACTTCAATTATAAACCGGAGTGAAATACATTGTAAGTGAAATGCTCAAGTGTAATTTAATAAAAAGGCAATTGAAAATGACATTAACGTAAATAAAACTTCTATTAAACTGTCAGTTTAAAACACGTGTTTTATGTAAATTCGTAGTTTTTTTATGTATCATCAATGTAATTGGCATATCAGATGATGTGTTCAATCAATCAAGTATTTTTTTCTAAGATTTAAGAACTCATCGCAATTAAAATTGTAATTTTTTAAATGCTGTACACACACATAACAAAATTCCAGTGGATGTGAACTGTCAATTCCATTGCGTATACGTCAAACGAAATTCATCGGCTCATGGTAGAAGAATATAGGTAGACGCGTCGACACAGCTGCTGGGACAATGAACTGTCAAACCAATTTTGGAATTGATAATGTTGAATGAAAAATTATTTATATTTGTAAAAATTGTTGAAAAACGCGAATTATAATAGCCTCTGAATGACGTAGTATAAGAAAACATATAAAAATCTACTTATATTTGAAAAAACCTTTAAATTGTTTGACACATCAATGCTCCCAAGTGTTGATGCATCTACCTGTATTCTTCTACCATGCATCGGCTTTAAGACTCAATTTCATTTGACGTAAACGTAATGGAAATGACATTTGAAATCTCCTGGATGAAGTAAGTATAAACGTACTTTTAGAAGAATATAAACATGGCAGAAGAATACAGGTAGATGCATCAACTTTTGGAAATATTGATATGTCAAAATTGTTTTAATGTTTTTCAAATATAAGTAGATTTTTATATGTTTTTTTCTTATACGACGTCAATTGGAGGTTATTATAACGCGTTTTCCAACAATTTTTACAAATCTGAATAATTTTTCATTTAAAATTGTCAATTTCAAAATTGGTTTGAGATTCTTGTCCTGTTGGAATGTCCAAGGTCTACGCCGAAAATGTTTGCGTGCCCACGAGCGATGGTACGGGACACAAACGATTTATTCACATTTAAATGCTGGAGTGCTCTAACGATAGACACTTGTGGTTTTCCAGCCACATATAATGAAATCACACTATAACGCTTGAATTCCATCACGAATTACTTTTTTTTTCTGGAAAATTCTCACCAAAATGCTTTTGTACGCTTGTAAACAATATAATGAGCTGTCACTGGAATAATTTTAACAGCTATCGGACGAGTGGCTAAGAAATGACAGCAATCTGAAGTTTGTTGCAGTTTTTTCATCTCATCCTTTATATATCAAACATTTTTAAGTGTTTTTTTTTTTCCAAAATAATAAATATTTTCCTATTCGACGCCAATCGGAGGTTATTATGAAAGTCATTTTTAACAATTTTTACAAATTTGAATAACTTTTTATTCAAAAATTTCCATTCCACAATTGATTTCACAGTTCATTGTCCCAGCAGCTATGTCGATGCAACTACCTGTTTTCTTCTACCATGGTCCTATCCATAGCAACAGTGATGTCAACTTTAATCTAGACTTTTCATTCATTGTTTTGTGTTTAAATGTAATGATATCTGTCGTTAACTCAAAAAATCATTTCGAGAATTCCACTACTTTGCTTGAATAGACCCGGATTACTCAAATATATAAATATTTCTATTAAATTTGTATTACTTTTACCAGTATTAAGAAAAATAAAAATATCTGCGGTTAACTTTTTTTCAAAATAATATTTTTTTTTAATTTATGTTGTCAAATCCCTACATGAGTAGAAAATGTAGGGATTTGACAACATAAATTACAAAAAATGCAAATCTGGGTATTCCATGGTGGAAGAATATAGGTAGATGCATCAACGCTTGGGAACATTGATATGTCAAAATTTTCATAATGTTTTGTAAAAAATAAGTAGATTTTTATATGTTTTCTTATACGACCCAAATCGGAGGTTGCTATTATATGTATATTTCAATTTCAAATTCAATTTATGTATTCTTCTACCTTGGGGTATACTCATTGGAAAAGAGTTAACCTTTTTTGAGTTTTGCCTTGTTAAGGCGAAGATCATATGTTTTATGATTTATTTGTTTGTTTTCTCTTTCGAGACGAGCTTAATGATCAGGAATTTGCAGTGAAAAGGAAAGCCAGATAGACACTATCACACACTCACCACGCGTCGCATAGTGGTGAGTGTGTGTTAACCTTTTTTATTCTACCATGCTCCCACATATAAATGCCTATGATAACAAGTAAGCGTACAAATGTCTTACGCAATTTGGTTTTATTTGAGATTTGTTAATTTCATGTACGTTCCTGTTTTATAAAATATTCAGTTTTGAA